CCCTGATCAGTTGAAACTAACATCTGCCACAGCGGTCCTGTGCGCCCTATCGACTGTGAACGCTCTCTGGAACCTGAAGTCCAAGACCCCGGCGAAGGACCAAGGTCAACCTGATGATCGTAAATAATTGATGGTTTCTATGAAATCCAGTAATAAAAGCAACATAGCATCTGAACTAAAATACTACGGGTGCGTTAATAGAAGGGTATATAAGGGACGGATGAGAGGACGAGTTCTGTGGGGGGGAAAAGCGATATCCTAACGACTGCTTCCAATTTCTTTTTGGGGTTTCTCAGGGTTTCAGAATTATGATAACGACGAAGCAAACGGTTCACTTGAAACACTGTCTCTTCATTTTACTGTCTGTTTGTTCTCGGCCTTGTTAGCAGTTTCAACTCTCTTCGTGAGATAGATGTTTCTCCAGCTCCACTGGTATAGGCAAACTGGTTTCTAAATTCACAAAATCGTGAGAGGAAAAGCTATCCCTGGTCACTCAGACTACATATCCTTCTCATCTCAAGGGTTCTCTTTATCTCAAAGAGCACTTCACCCCGGGGAATAACCCTCTATCGAGGATACTCGTAGCATTAGGTACCCTCTGGTCTCGGTGTTGAGTCGGTTTTCTTAGGGTTGATCAGGTAAACTCGCTTTAGGTACGGACTAGAGTCACTAGGCGTCAGGCTACGATAGTCGGCTTAAGTAGTCCGGGTACGTCTATGCATGACCTCGGCTTGGGGAAGCTCCTTTCGGGTGTTTATACTCCTCGTAGTAGTGTAGTTGAATTTTCGCGTTGTTCCAGGCAAGGATCATAGCTCAATCGTGTCTTGGAACTAATACCTTCTTGCAAAGAACGGTGGTAACCTGTATATCTACACAGTTCAGCACAAGCAATGTGTTTTTGACGTAAAAGCTACCGGATAGCAAAGCAACATGCATCTTTTCCTTATAGAATTTCATAATTTCAAACTCTTTCATCCATCGGAAGCAAGGCGGGAATCCTTTGGGGGCCAAAAACGCCAGGGCCACTAATGAAACGATTATATTCAACTGGACGCTAAAGAAGGCAAGAAGAATGCGGATCAGATTCTAAGCCCACTTCGGTCTCAGCCTCGTGTACCTACCTTTTGTTTCTCACCAACAATCTTCTTCAGGCCATTTGCGACATCAGGAAAGTTTCCACCCGTTAAACTGGGGCATCGTGGTTGAAGGAGAACAGTATAGCTAAGGTCCAATACTCCATAGTCGGTTTTCTTTGCTATCTTCTTCTTTTCCCTGTTAAATACGAAGAGTTTTGACTTAATGGCGGGGGATATCAACATCAACAAAGCTGCAATACAACCCTGGACAGCCCTTCCATCATCATCATGGCGGCTCCAACCAAAGTACTCCAATTTATCACTGAGTGCATCTGAAAGAGACGGTAAAGACGATGCGCCCAGTAGATTGAAAACCAGATCGAAAACGTCCCTCGACTTACCGGGTGCACCGCGTCGGGATCATCAGGAGGGCGAAGAATGGATCAAGGGCGCTTTGTTCTGTACCTGGGGAGCAGGTATAATCCTTGCCCTGAACTTCATCATGGCAATTGTGGCAACGGGGATCGGCTACTCTAAACCGTCGAACAAGGGACACTTCGAGTCAATCGCCTTGTACGATGGGAACTGTTCGCTTTCAAGCCACTGGGCGACGGGATTGCATTTGGTTATCAACGTACTCAGCACGCTGCTACTGGCAGCCAGCAACTATGTCATGCAGTGCTTGGGCGCCCCGTCGCGTTCCGACGTCGATCAGGCCCACAAGCAACGGAAATGGCTTGATATTGGCACCTTCAGCATGCGGAACTTCGCCATCATGGACGGGCGGCGAAAGATCCTGTGGACTCTTCTGCTAATAAGTTCAACCCCAATCCATATGATGTGGGCAGAGAAGACCCCTGTATGAGGCCTTGGCATCAATAACCAATCGCTTAGATACAATTCGGTAGTTTTTTCCTCCATCTCCACTCTTGACTATGTGACGGTTTTGATCCCCGAGGACTTGGCATCCAGTGAGTCCTTGGCGTCCAGTGAACGATTGGCTGGAGGCGAGAATGCGGCAGATAGCTTCACTCAGGTGGTTGGCACCAGCCCCATTCATCTTCAGGCCGAGATCTTCAACGGCACCTTTCAAAACACGAGCGTCCAGGACTGTATGGACAAGTATAACGCGGAGTTTAATACTCAACTTGGAACCCTCATCTTCACTGTCGACCGGCGCTATTTTCATAACACCAGCAGTCTCCTCGGCTCGATCGGCGACACAGTAAGCTCAAATACTCCGATATACACTTATCTACAGTCCTTGGGAAACAATAATGGACAGTCCACTGCGCACAAAGCGATAAATGATGGTAACGTGACGGTACACGGCCTTCATTGGGCATACCGTCCTTGGAACTTCTCAATGCCAGACCCTTTACCGGAGTCGAACACCTACAACTTCACTCTCAATACGACGGCTTTTTTGTATAACTCTGATAAATATAGCGATACCTTGAACCACGACATCAGTGTGCTCACCGCTTATCTGACCATGTACAACCCTGACCAGCAGTCCCTGGGTACATTTCTGGCTACCCCTTCTCATTGGGCGAATAGCTCTTGGGCAGCAAATATCACGTTTGAGCTGGATAACCGGCCAGTCTATCCACAAACGGTATATGCAAACACTATAGGTCATGTCACACAGCTTCCTCTTTCCGGCTGCATGACCAAAGGCAAAGACCAACGTTGTCAATTATTTTTTAGTCCACCTATCGCCATAGCGGTAATTGTCTCTAATGTGATCAAGGTGGTCTGCATGTATCTTACTGCCCGGACTAGCAGGAAGAACATTCTCTTGACCGTCGGTGACGCCCTCTCCTCGTTTTTGACGTCACCAGACCCAACTACAGAAGGCCAATGTCTCGTATCGCGGGCAGACATATCTTGTGGTCAAACATCGTGGACTGCAATGACGATCTGGTCGAGACTTAATCAATCCAAGGGATACCGTCAGCAGGAGTCTGTGGGGAGTACAGCAGACATTCCCTTGATAGATACTCTCTCCAGAACGAATACTCCTTTTATGGATTGTCCCAAGATGCTCCCAGACAAGATGCGATGGTATCAAGCTGCTAGTGCCAAGCGCTGGACAGCTACTCTCGGTTTGTGAGTCCCCTAATCCGTCTGGCCATCTCAAATTTGTTACCTAACTAGCTAACATATTCTAGCCTTGGTGGCTGCGTGGCAACCTCTACCTTCCTCCTCGTGCTCTCTCTAACTTCTGCTACCAATGGTTCCATCCCAAAGGCATGGACACTCGGATTTGGAAAGGCCAGCGGACAGACCATGGTCCAGGCTCCTGGTATCTCGACAGCCATGATCTCACTAGTACTGCTGAGCAACACGCCCCAGATGGTGCTTTCTATCCTCTACTTCCTCTGCAACAGCCTCATGACCTGCATGCTGATTGCCGACGAGTACGACGACTACGCCACACAGCGCAAACCTTTACGCGTCTCCTGGCCCAAGGGCCAACAGCGCTCAACATATTACCTTAGCCTGCCCTATCGCTACAGCGCCCCGCTAATCTTATTCTCCGTCATGATGCACTGGCTCCTGTCGCAGAGCATCTTCTTCGTCAACATCCAGTCTTATGACGTACACGATAAATTGTCCACATTTAGGTCCAGTCGCGGCTGCGGCTATTCACCCATTTCTATCTTCATTGGACTTCTCGTCTCTTCTGTCGCTATCTTGGCTCTCCTGGGGCTGAGCTGCCGACGGCTGAAGTCCCGCATGCCACTGGCGACGCATTGTAGTGCCGCCATCAGCGCCGCTTGTCATCCCCCACCGGATGATCACGACGCCGCTCTGAAGCCGGTGATGTGGGGAGAAGTACCGCGAGATATGTCCGATGGGCCGGACGGAGATCGCTCAACAGCGTATACTGGAGCTGGTCCGGTTTCGTTGGAGGTCTATGCTCACTGCACTTTCACGTCGAAGGAGGTCGTTACCCCGAACCCGGTTCGTCTGTATCGTTGAGCTCCCTGGTGGGGCTATGTATAGTACTCCTTGGATGGATGATAATTTTATGTGTAATATTAGGTTTTAGACTACGATCATGGATTTTATGGGTTACGTATCTTAATGCCGCAGTGAGTACCAAATAAGTTAACTACGGGGGGAATCTACCAATATTATATACAACTTGGGATTCAAGCATAGGGTTTCGAATGAGAGATGGGTTGTATATGTACTAAACAGAATGAATAGGTGATTGATTACTAAATCAAGGTACACTGGAAGGCGAGTGACTGACTATGGTAAGCTTTGAAACTGTCTAAACATTATCCCCATGGCAGGGTACCATTGCCTGTATCCAGTCTAGCTAAAGTTCATGAGATTGGGGAACTAGGTGATCGTAATGAGGCGATGATAGAGGAGGCAACAGCCTACGTACCGAGCATCTATACCAATAAATGACTCGCTCGTCCTGGTGATCATTTACATCTATTCTTATATAGAGGAAGATTGCCAGGGAGAAATTCCGTTTCCAGTAAATATGTTTTCGATTAGTGGTCGCATTGTCATACCCGAATTCCTATAGAACCAGACCAGCAGGAATATATATATAAAACCCATTACCACAAAAGATTAGCCCGCACAACAACAAGAGAATTATCGTATCACAGAGACAGAAACTATATTTTTAAAGATTCTAATAGACTCAAGAACGTATACTGAGCAAGAATAATCGAGCCAGCTTCATGTTAAGGGCTCAGAGTGTCGACATTGAAGAGGAGAAAATGCTTTACAAACTTGGTTCTCCTTGAACATATACCATGGTTCAGATGATTCTATCATCCAATGGGGCGGTAGCTCAGTGGTAGAGTGGAAGATTGCAATAACCTGATTGGTTAACCAAATATTGCAACCTATCTTTAGGTCGCCGGTTCGAACCCGGCCCGTCCCTTGTTCTTTTTGTTTTTCTTGGGTGTTTCCTTTTTTCTTTTTCTTAGGCAAGAAGAACACAAAGTAACCATTGGCCGCCTAGTTACCTAGTTATGTGGTGTATCCTCGTCGGTGTTGTGCTGGTAAACCTCATTTGACCGACTCTCTAAATTGTATAATCTCATTCCAAGATACACAAAATTAACATAAAAATACTTCTTCTTCAACCATACAGTTAACCTACGTAGTTTCTACCTGTTATTCATCTGTGTTAATATTACCCTATATAACATAGCCTCCTAAAGATATAACTAGTCACATGGACCGTTGCCTAACTCCATGTAAAGCCACGTAACTTCGCCCCCAAATATCAATCAACTCCCCACCTCACTCTTTTAACTCACTATCAGACTGCGAGGCAAATGCTACAATGAGCTCCAACTACAGTGCAGAAGATCTCGATGCCATCGTCGAATTGGCTAATACAGTGCAGAAGCACTATATCGACGTGCCAGACCAATACAAAGCTATTTTGGACGAGTGAGTTAAGTCAGATAACTAGAGGTCAATGCAGGGTAATTAGGTTGTAGACAACTGACAGGCTGATAGTGTTAAGCGACTGTCTAAGCAGCTGCGCGAGACTGAAGATGGGGATTCCGATGACTCTCTAGGGGAGCAAACCTTGAACGATATCACTAAAGGTTGTCGTGATCTACTACAAGAGCTGAACGCATATCTGGGGTATTTATCTGCGAAGAAAGCTCTGTCAAAACAATATGAAGGAGGGCCCGTTGATTTTAAGACTACAATTGGTGAAACCGTCCTTCTAATTGCAGCGAAGCAAGGATTTAAAGAAATTGTCCGGTTCCTCCTAGACCAAGGAGTCTCTCCTGACCCCAAAGACAGAGCGGGGCGAACACCCCTCCATCATGCAGTGGCAATGGACCATACCGAAGTAGTCAAGATGCTTCTCAAGGCCGGAGGTGACATAGAGACAACAGACCTGGCGGACCATATCCCATTGATGTTCGCAGCACCCTGCGGAAATGACGAGGAGAACAGATCGGGCCACACACCTCTGATTTCTGCAATAGAAGGCGGGAATAAGGCGATGGTAAAGCTTCTTCTCGAAGCGGGTGCCGACCCGGACCATTACACCGATGATTATGTCCCATTGATCTCTGCAATAAGGACTCCCAAGATGGAAATCTTTACACTGTTGCTCGACAAAGTCTCTGATCTAGATCATGTCGATGGAAGGGGCGAAACTCCGCTGATGCATGCTGCAGGTTGGCACAATAGGATGGGAGAGCTCCTCCTGGAGCGAGGAGCAAGATTGGACGTTGAGAATAAATACGGTGAAACTGCGATGTCCATTGCTTCGCGGCGTGCAAACGAACCATTGCTTAGATTGCTCCTAGGGAAGATTCCTGGTCAGGAGTATGTGAATGCGAAGGGTCAAGGTTTACTGCATTTTGCTGCAGGAAGCGACCTAGAAGGTGGGGATGAGGCCATGGTCCGCTTTCTTCTGGCGAGGGAGGGACTAACTCGCGACCGGAAAGTCGCGGATGCTCAAAGCGGGCTGCACGGCGCCGCATGGAAGGGGTATACTACCATACTGGACATACTGCTTGGGATAGACGGCGTGGATGTCGACAGCAAGGACGAGGATGGCTACACGGCGCTCTGGCTGGCTGTTCGATGGGGGAGGGAGGATGCCGTCGAGCTCCTTCTCGATAAATATGGGGCAAGTCTCGATGTTCCTAACGGCGATATGGAATGGACAGCATTTCAAGCAGCTATCTATTATGAAAAGCCGGAAACTGCGCGGATGCTCCTGGCGAGGGGCGCTAATCCCAACAGCAGGGACCGCTACGGTCGAAGCCCCCTATCCTGGGCGGTAAATATCGAATGGGATGACTGTCATGATGGTATTGGTTCAACCATAGTGCCGTTGCTTCTTGAAACAGATGGCGTGGATGTCAACAGCCAAGACAAGATGGGTCGCACTCCCCTGTTCTGGGCTCTCTTATCCGCCATCTACCTGGTGCACGCCCCAGAGAAAGCAAGTATGTACGAGGACGGCGTTCAGCTCCTTCTTGAGAAGGGTGCCAGAGTAGACAGCCGCGATGATTCTGGGAGGACCCCTATATTCTACGCGGCGATGGTGAAACGTGCCGCACTGGTCCAAATGTTCTTGGATAAGGGCGCAGAGCCAGACTGCAAGGATGCTGACGGTAGAACACCGCTTTCTTATGCAGTGGAACCATTCAATGTTACTTGGCTTGCGGAGTACAAAGAAGAAAATGAGGATGAATGGGAGCCTGATTGGTCATGTGACCAGTTGAGCAAGGTCGTCCAAGCACTTCTTGCCAAAGGATCGGACCCATTTTGTCAAGATACAAAAGGCCTAACACCACTCTCACGCGCAGAAAAGAAGCTTGAGAAAGGGAATGAAGTTTTGGTTCTGCTCAGGGACACCTCCGGTCGAGGTTTAGGCTTGTAATTCAACACAGTACTTCTAGATAACAGTAGTAGAATACCAGGGAGTAGTTAAGAACGAACCCCCAAACCTACAACAGTGTACCAGAGTAACAGAGATGCGTTCTCTCGGCAGTGGAGTGGGTGTCAAGAAATGTGGGTGTTTTCAGTCTTATCGTCGGTTTACTGACATGTGTCCTAAACTCAATTGCAAACCGAGTGATAGATTCTTATAGTACTTTCTTAACTACCTTTCAACCGAGTGACAGCGACAGTCATGGTGTCTTCTTAGGTGTTATACTTACTATGTGAAGCTAGAAATATCCTATTGCTGGGTTGGGGCATGATTTCTGCTGATATCTAATAGCACAACGATTGCAGCAACTAAACAACGTGCCACGCTGTTAGAGCAGGTATTGTTGTTGATATTTTGATATGTAAATTAGGAAAAAGGAAAACAATAATAATAGGCTAAGGTATCGAAGGCGTGTGCTATGAATAGACAGATCGACTGTGTGGCAGCCAACAGTTCGCATTCAACAAAATTATCCTGTCAAATCCAGTTTTCATAATGACGATCCTTAGCTGCCCATTACCTGTTGTAAGCTGCTCACAGTAATTGGAAATACAAATCCAATTTTCCTGTCGTAAACATAAGTTGAGGATGAATTCGGGGACCGGATGATATGCCCCAGCCATCCCTTTTATGCCCAGGAATGCGGAAGGGGCCGTTCTCCCTACTCTCCACAAACCTTTGTGAGTTGCAATTGTACGTACAAAGAACAGATCCCGAAAGTCAATTCTTGTGAAGGGGTCAAAACATTTAGTAACCGACTTCATGGAATAGGTTGTAGATGTCTGGGTATTGGCTTTGTTTGTTGTTGTTGTTATTGAACTTGCATTCCGAAGTAAGGGGGAGGCGTTCTGTGGCTTCCGTTGTTTTGAATTCTCAAGGACAAAATGAAAACAAGAGAATAATTGCCAAGAAGATGGCAACAGTGAGATTTCAGCTGCGGCGATTAGATCCGCCAGTGAAGACTGTGTCTATCATGCCACGAGACATCATCACAACAACGGAAACAATATCCTACATGAAACCTTTACCGAAGACAGCTGGCATTGACTCAGTAATCATGCCGTGCCATGTCAATAGTGCACGATCCACGCAGCAAGGGATATGCATATTTTTGAACTCGGATTGGCCTATCCGCATGCAGGAAGAGCTACAATTGAACTTACATTCCAGGCACAGCGCGCCGAACTATAAAGATCGCGCGCTTCACGAGCCATTCGAGATTTTTTCTTTGTTTGAGCATCGACACGACACGACACGACACGACACGGGCTGTTTCATATATCGGCAATATGGTTATGAGGTCACTCAAGTTTTGGGCGTCCAGCCTTCTCTACGCGACCCTTCTGAGAGAATGCCACGCCCAACAATCTGATGCCAGCATTGGCTCTGAGCTTGGTCGCCAGCTGTCAAGTGATGCTAGCATTTACTTCCCTGGAAATGATCTGTTCAATAATGCTACTGCGCGGTGGTCGCAGTATGGCAAGCCGAACATCAGTGTGGTTGTGGAGGTTGCGAACAAGTGGGATGTTGCTAAGACGGTGCGTTTCTCATAGGTGTCATGGGCATTGTTGTATGCTGATTGAAATTAGGTCAAATATGCCACCAAACACGACGTACCATTCATTGCCATCAACGGTGGCCATGGAAATATTGAAACCCTGGAAAATGTTCACCAGGGAATTGAGATTTGGCTGCACAAGCTTAACTCCGTTGACATCGCAGACGATACAGCTACCTTCGGTGGTGGTATCCTCTCCCATCAGGTGATTGAGTCCTTATGGGCAGCCGGTAAACAGACTGGTGAGTTCTAATATGACCATTTGCACCATTGCGGGCACCAGCTAATCATCCCAAAAGTGACCGGTGTCTGTGACTGCACTGGATTCCTCGGACCCGCTCTTGGTGGTGGCCATGGGTACCTGCAGGGACGCCACGGCCTCATCGCAGATAACTTCGTTTCCTTGGAAGTCGTGACTGCTGATGGAAAGATTCGAACCGTGACGCGAGACGGGCCCGAGTCCGACCTGTTCTGGGCGATGCAGGGCGCTGGCCACAACTTTGGCATTGTAACCTCTGTCACCCAGAAGATCTATGACGTGCCAGGAAATGGTGTATGGTCCTTTGTCAAGCACACTTACACCCAGGACAAGTTGGAGCTTCTCTTCCAGTACCTCAATATCCTAGGATGGAATGGACAGCGCGTTGACGTGATGTACTGGGCTACCATTTCCCGCGACGCGGAGATTGATCCTGTCAACGTAAGCCATGCTACCCCCTATCGCAGATGCTCATGAGACTAATCAATGACTGCTAGCCCATAATCGACATCTTCGTCCTGCAGGAGGGCGTCGAGACCATGGATCCAACTGTATCGCAGTCTTTCCTCAACTTTGCCCCTGTGAAGACCGTAACACACACCGGCCCGTATGTGGACATTTCCAAGTGGACAGAGTTCAACATCGGCTCGCGGGCTTGTGACAAGGGTGACGAAGGCCCTCAAATTGTCCGTTTCCCCCTCAACCTGAAGAGCTACAACTTGGAGGCTCTGCGCAGCGCATTCAATGCCTTCGCCGAGGAAACCGTTGCCCACCCCGATTTCGAACATTCTACTATTATGCTCGAGGGGTACTCCAACCAAGGTGTCCAGGCAGTCGACGAGGCCTCCACCGCTTACGCTCACCGTGCCGACACCATCCTCGTCTCTTCTGTTATCATTTTCGAGCAGGAGACAGACCGGCCCGCAGCCGAGACCTTCGGTGACCGCGTGCGCGATATCCTCCACGAGGGAAGCGGCGAGGCTGAGAAGCATGTGTATGTGAACTACGCATCTGGTGACGAGCCGCTGGAGTCTATGTATGGATATGAGCCGTGGAGACAGAGCAAGCTGTCCGCGTTGAAGAGGAAGTACGATCCTGAGAACAGGTTCGGATTTTACGCGCCTATCCCTGCGGCAGGATTTTAATTCTTGTACATGTTTCATATTTTGCATCTTGCACAGAGTTTCTGGTTTGTGTTTCTTAAGGTGTTAATTATACAGGAGTAATGTATAGTTTAATTGTTAATTTGTACTTTATACTACAGAATCGCTTCTACTGCGTCAACAGGAAAGAGGGGCAGACGTAATTACATGGCCTGTCAGTCTTAAATCAGCTCATTTTGTATATCTATGTCTAAAGAGTCTTACGACTTCCCTATGAATACAATCACCAAGTAGATGACAAATACCCCGGCCAATCTATCTCGCCCTATTCTCCAACAGATAACACCCTGCTTACTGGTCCATCTTCATCCCAACTCTCAACAGCACCAACCAACAGGGCAAAATATTCCATACAACGAGCACAACAACAACAACAACAACAACAACAACAACAGGGTTCTTCTTTGAGTTCAAACGCAACTACAACTTTGCCACTGAGGACCGAAAGTACTAGATAATACCACTTGTGGGCGTCGAAAAGCGCTATGTCGCTGATGTCGTGGGTAATAGGAAGCTGTCGTGCGATACTACGCCTAGACATCGCTTGGATTTGGTTGTCAAGGCTGTGGAGCTGCCTGGCCCTAGTCGGGAGCCTTTTGGGAAGTTTGTAGCTGAGTGTGCTATTAAGGTGTGGCGGATGCTCCTCGTCGATTTTTATATTAGAACTCTCTGATTTGATTCATGAGAAGCGCTTCACCGGAGGTATAAGATGAGCAAGGGACTGGAGGTCATACCATCTACAAAGAGCGTGGAACAAAGAGATGTGTAACGGGATAATAACAAGCGATTGAATGCATAAGCACACCTTACTATCTTTATCTGAGTCAAAAGATAGAATGAATCCTCTCATTCCTCAACACAGTCTGCACCGTCTCCCTCCCCTCAATCCTCCGCGCCAGCTCAGTAAACTTGGCATACGCCTGCATTTCAACTTCCGCCCTGACTCCTATCCGATAAGCAAAATACAAGAAGACATCAGCAGCAGTAAAGCTCTTCCCAACGGCATACTCCCCAACCAACTTCTCCTCAATTAACGCAAAACAATTCCGCATAATTTCGAATCCTCTTCTCTTAATCATCTCCAAGTGCTTCTCCTCAGTCGAAACAGTCCACCGTCCCGGCCTGAAGAAATGGCTAATGCCCCCCGCATGAACCGTTCCTGCTACATAATTCATCCATTCATGAACCCGGGCCGTCTCAATCGGGGTTCGGCCCAGGAGGTTTGCTTCCGGTGCCAGGTTGGAGATAACCATCGAGACAACTGGGACTTCCGTGATGACCTCGTCGTCGAGAGCGATGACGGGGACGCGGCTTTTAGGGTTGATTTTGCGGAAGCTTTCAGGGAAGCTCTCGTCGGTTCCTTCCATTTCAATTCGGATGGGTTCGAAAGTGGTATTTGTTTCGTGGAGGAGGATGTGGGGGATGATGGAGCAAGCGTCCGGGGCGTAGAAGAATTTGATATTGGGCATTTTGGGCTGGTACGTTGTGCGTTTTACTTGAGTTTGATATTATAGTTGCGTTGGGTTGGGGTGTGAAGCTGAGAAGTGCTGAGTGGGGGTTCCTCATATATTTATACCTCGTGTTTTGGCATTTTCTGGGCATGATTTGATAGTCATTGAAACTGACTCATCGTGGAAAACTATTTCCGCCATCTCTCATTTCCACCATTAGAGAAGTAGAACCACAGTTATTCAAGTGCGCTATACATAGAATCACTGGTCTTGCATAATTTAAAATATCCATGGTTATGATTATGTGGAAATCATAAATGTTTAACCATGCCACCACTAAAAACATTATCCGGATCGAGTCTGCTTTTCAAACGTTTGAGATTTTCCGTAGCTTGCATACCAAAGAACTGCTCCACGTCGATCTGTTCCGGCGGGAAGAAGCTCGGAAATCCCCCGTCCAACGCAAGCCCACGTTCTTCAAGTTCTCTGCTCAACCGTTTTGCCCAGTGGGTGGCATCTGTAACAGCAGCAGAGCCGGCTTCTGCACCGGAATGTGTTCCGCCATGGAACCCTAGGATGACATGCGGGAATCTATTTGGAAAGCAGGTACTGAAGTCATTATGTGTCTTCGTTCGTATGCCCTTGCCATGATTGTTGTGGATGATGATTGCTGATAAAGGGTGGATTGGTGGATGGTGGGAGAAGATTGCTCCGACCTCAGGATTCAGTCCTCGAATGTTTCGACTGCAGAAGAATGTAGCAGACGATGAGTCTCCGACACCATAGGCTGCTGCAGTGGCTAGTAGAAGAAGGTTAGCCCTAAACGCTTCCATATCACAGGCTGGTCGGGATATTAAAACATACTCTCTTCGACAGTATTCGCTAGAACTCGACCCAGACCTATCATTTTCCGAAGAAAGATTTTAGCCGGCTCTAAATCTCCATCTACTGCAGTCCAACACCAGAAGAATGTAAAAGAAGGCTCAGAAACAATCCCCTGCAACATATCCGGATGCGCAACAATGCCATCCCCACTGAACTCATCAGGAAGCCCCCCCGCAGCAATTCTCTCAAAATCTTCAAAGACCGAAACCACATCGGAAAGCGGAAACGCTAAATAGCCTGCATACAGCGTCGGTGCTGGATACACTTTCACCCTCAGCTCAACTATGACACCGAAATTGCCCGCCCCTGCTCCCCGTAGAGCCCAGAGTAGCTCTTGGTCATCGTCGGTGTCGATGATCTCCCCACCCGTTACGACCATTCTTGCACCAACGATCTGGTCCACGCCGAATCCATATGTCCCGACGTAGAATCCATATCCGCCGCCACAGGCCCAGGACACGTACCCGACAGTCTTCGATTGGCCCGTTGGTGTGAAGAGTTGGTGAGCGGATAGAAATTGTTGCAGTGCTCCTGCAATGACGCCGCCGCCTACGTGTGCACTGGTTCTATCTGGGGAGATGGTGATGGAATCCATAGCTCGCATGTCGATAACGATCCCGTCGGCGACTACTGAGCGACCGAAGAAATCATGACCCCCGGAGCGAATGGTGAGGGGGGTACGTTTGGCTGAGCATAGTTGGACAACTTGCGAGACTTCTTCCTCTGTCTGGGGGCGGACGATGGCTAGGGGCTGGTCCGTGAGGGCACGATTGTAGGACACACGGTAATGCTCGAATTCTGGGTTTGATTTTGTATATACTGGAAGGGTTGGGATGAGCTTCGATAGCTCCTGAATAACTGATGCTTCGTGCTGGTCCATATCTGATCGGAATGAGTGATTTTGGCTTGTGTACGAACACCTAGTCTGCCACCTACACTTGTTTTATACATACGGCTATGGGCGGTTTATCTTTCTAACCTGTATCTTTGTAAATCATTGACCAAGTGAGGTTCTAGGCTCTTCCACCTAGCGCACCGGCTGTTGCCTTGTTTCGCACCGACGTCTCTGTGACTTACGAGGGGGATCACACCGGCTCCATAGCCAGTAAGACTCAAGTTCAACTGTAGAATACAAATATGGAGTCGTCAACCATGGTTACTCTCGGTCAAGTAGTTTTGGCATTTCATTTGGTCGATCCAATATCCACCAGGGCCCACCCGACCTTCCATATTTGGATAGAATGCGAGCAAGTGGGTCTTTGATACTGAAACAGAAATGCGAGCGATCGGGAATCTCAGCCATCCCGTGGTTTATGCCGCAGCAAAGTAGAATTTGACTGCTATCCTCTCATGCTATTGTGCTTGTGGTGCTATTTGGACTGACTGAACGCTCACACCCCAAAAAGAGGGTACGAGAAGTGTAAAGGATACTCAGGTATGGTTGAATGTCCGATATGCCAAAAGCCCGTCCTTTTGTCAAAAATCAATCGCCACCTCGATTCTGGATGCAAAGGATTCTTTGAACCTGTGCTCTCTTCGGGCAAAATATCTCGTGAGCTTAATCCGGGACGCGGCCATCCCCACGAAGCTACGTTCATCGATCCTGTTAATGATAAGGAACGATCCGGCAGCGATCAACCTACTATACCAACTGCCAGACAATTATTCAAAGAAAGTACGAAGAGAGTATCCGATCAGCATGAGAACGGCCAAGAAGAGAACCGAGATTCCAAGACGGAACATTCAACGAAGCGACTTAAGCCGGAAAATGCACCATTGGCAGAGCGTGTTCGCCCTAGATGCTTTGACGATATTGTCGGCCAGAGTCACCTCATAGGGCCTAATGGAACTATCCGCCAGTTTGTTCACGAGGACAAAATTCCGAACATGATACTCTGGGGGAGCTCGGGAACTGGCAAAACCACAATCGCTCGCATTATTGGATCTGTCTCGAAAAGAAGATTCTATGAGATCGGTAGCATGGTCACGACAGTCACAGAGTACAAAAACATCATTGCAAAGGCCTTGAAGGATTTGGACACAGAACGAAAGCCATCTATTGTGTTTTGCGACGAGATACACCGTATTACCAGGCCACAGCAAGACATACTCCTCGATGCCATCCGAAACGGTAGCATTATTCTGATTGGAGCTACAACGGAGAATCCATCCTTGACAATCCGCCATGGACTCGTTTACAAATGTACAGTTTGCACTCTCACCAAGCCAAGAGAGGCGGACGTACGGAATATGCTTCATCGAGTGGCTGAAGAACGGGGCTTACATTCCCATCTCCTCGACGATGAATTCCTCGGATACCTGTCAAGTTTCGCCGATGGTGATTGCAGGTTGTCGCTAAACCTTCTAGAGATAGCACACGACCTATCTAAACGAAACGGGATGACCGGAGAAAGATTGAGAAATTCAGTAACAATGCATCTAAACTACGACCGCTCGGGTGACCAGCACTACGATACTATCTCGGCCTTCCACAAGTCAATCCGAGGCAGTGACGCTGATGCTGCACTGTACTACCTCGCGAGAATGCTCAAGTCTGGTGAAAATCCACTATTCATCGCGCGTCGTCTTATTGTAGCAACGTCGGAGGACATAGGACTTGCTAACAATGTCTTGCAAACTTATGCAACTTCGGTATACTCCATGCTTGAGAAGGTGGACATACAAGATGCACAGACCTCCCTGGCGCAATTGGTTATTATGATGTGCTTATCGAAGAAGAGTACTCGTTCATATAGAGGCTTGAATAATGCTTTTGCTTGTCTGAAAGAACCTGGGGCTGCTGATGCGCCTATCCCTTATCACCTTCTTCCTATTAGTTCGGAAGCTAGAACAGTTCTCGAAGAAGGTTCTAAGCATCATGCAATGTACACCGGCAAGAAAACGAACCATTTACCTGAATGTCTGGAGGGGCGGAAGTTCCTGGAAGATACTGATTTCTTATTCAAAAGAGACCCTGATCTTACGTATTGATGAATTTTCGGCACATACGTATAAACATTTAGCATTTCTAAACTAGTCATAAGTATTTGCCCCGAGAAAATATGACCATCTGGCTATGAACTGTTGTCTTCATTAATAAGATATTCATATCTGCTGCTTACCAAACCTTCACCAAACTGTATAGCTGTATATAAGCGCGTATATACTTCAATAACTGATAGCCGCAGCCACTTAAATCATTCCAGGTCTGAAGAGAAGAGTAAAATTGTACACTTTATTTTCAGGAAAAATACAACAGCACGGTCTTTACATTGCTGGTGGCGTGTGCTTATGAGGCCGGTGTCGCATTTTGGAACTCCCCAGTCACAAGTGTGGGTGCTTCATAATCATACTAACTCGTTGAAGTATTGTAAGGAGTGGTTGACCAACCGTGAAGCGGAAAGGAGGGGTTATCTGGAACAAGCGGCGTTGATGCGCAAACCCACCCGAACTTCCCATTTGGTACAGAATGCGAGGTCTAGATGATACCTTATGGAAGCTAGGAAAAGGTTAAATAATGCTAACTGTGAGCCGTAAAGGTGTTCTTCGACGTCCCCTGGCTTTAACATTCCATCGAATATTGAGTTTATCATCCTATACTCAAGGGGAAGGAGCTACTACTAGCTCACTGACAAAATCATCATATACATATTAACCTGTCAGCCAGGCCTCTACAAAGCAATCGCAATGGAAACAGTCAGTTTAGACTCAAGTGACATGTCACGCTTTTCCGACTTCACGATTCTCACCACAACCTACAAAACTGTGCATGGGCACGAAATCACAACGGATATTCTTTACCCTACGATCCTATCGCAAGCTTTTGAGAAGACACAGAAGACCACCAATTGTCCTGTCATTCTAAGATACCACGGTGGTGGCCTTATCTCTGGGTATAGCCTTTTTGCACCCTTCTTCAACCCCTGGTACCTTGAGCTATCCAAGGAATACTCCGCCATCATTGTATCTCCAAATTATCGACTGCTTCCGGAGGCCACAATTTTTGATATATTGGAAGATGTCGAAGATCACTGGAACTGGATGCACAAATTCCTTTCACAGTTCCTAAACGAGCACACCAATGGAGCCATACAACCCGATCTCAACCGCATCCTCACGGCAGGGGATAGCGCCGGAGGCTACCTGAGCATCCAAATGGGACTGAGTCACCCCGGACAGATCCGGGCCGTGAATGCAGTCTATCCTCTAGTCGATATCAAAGCCCCTTACTTTACCGACCAGACAGAAAAAGTCATATTCTCGATGCCTGCAACACCACGAGACACCCTAGCGCGTCATAGTAGAGAGTTCCGTGAAAGGGAAGAGGTTACTAATGAAAAGGTTGTCATTTCGGCACCCAGGGATCCAGAGAGAACTCGATTGATGTTTTCAATCTGTCAGCATGGGCTTCTTGGGCAATTCTTTCCGGGTGATGCTGTTGAACTTTATCCGCTTGAGAGACTTGATGCAGGTGCTAGGTTCCCGAGGGGAGGTGTCTTGGTGCTTCATGGACGGGAGGATTCGGTTGTTCCTGCTGAAGGCAGTTATATGCTGAAGGATAAGATTGATGAGCTTGATAGTGACTTGCGGTTCCGGCTTGTTGTTAGGAATGGTGAGCATGGTTTTGATCATTCGGCTAAATTGCATGATGCGTGGCTGTGGGAGGCTGCTCAAGATGTTATTTGTTCCTGGCTTGAGTAGTGTCTTTATCAAGACGGGAGTACATGAGGCGTTTTGTCCATTTTAGCAAAGGCAGCTTCTAGGATAAACATTTTCTTTCTTACCATACTTCGCTTCTGCGAGATACGATTATAGCGGACTAAATCAAAGTTTCAGATAATATAAAATATTACTTAGTTCATAATTACCAATATACTAGACCGTATTATAGATTATATAATATTTTATATAAGTCTATAACTAGCACTAACTATTATAAGTTCATGTGATGTAATCCACTACTGCCCCCAGGGAATGGTATATAAGAGAGATGCCGAAGAGAGAGATGCCGGGGAGAGAGAGGGATACCGGGGCGTCCTCCAGCAAAGCTTACTAACAAGTTACAGTGTCGACTTACAATTAATAGTGTTTCTTCTTCTTTCAGTGAACCATACGCGGTGCTTGAAGATATAAATACGGAGCTTGGAAGCATTGATCTGCTCAACATTTATTAAGGAGACCAAGAAAAGCCTTGTTGTGCCTTGAGCCGAGTTTAATAAATAAATCTCCCACAAAATTGCCCTCATTTTCTTCAAGTCTCTTGACAGCTATGGCCTCTACTCTCAACGTTACTCACATCGGCACAGCACTGCCATCCTTGAGATCAATGGAGTCAATATGATCACTGATCCTTTCTTCTCTCCTGCCGGAACAACCTTTCCTATTACTAGCGAGTTTTCCCTCGACGTCGATGACGATCCTGCTCCCCGTCTAGACCAACTTCCCGTCATTGATGCTGTTCTGCTCAGCCATGAAGACCATGTTGACAATCTTGATGACCTTGGCCGTCGTCTCCTTGGCGGACGGCGGGTATTCACTACAGTCGATGGCGCAAAGAACCTTTCCCCTCGGCCAGCTGTCCATGGTTTCAAGCCCTGGGAGAAAATGGACGTTGTAATTGGTGGAAAGAAGTTCGAGATCATTGGCACGCCAACCAAGCATATTATTGGAAATGAGTGTACTGGCTTCATCATCACTGGAGAAGGCTTCGGTCACGGTCGCGATGGTCTTCCGAACGCACTTTATATTTCAGGCGACACAGTCTACGTGGAGGAGTTGAAGCAAATGGCTGATCGCTACCATATTTGTGCTGCCGTTTTTAACCTGGGCAACGCCCATGCGCATACAGATTTGGGGGACCTTACCAGCCCCCGCTATCAAATCACTATGGATGGCAAGCAGGCGGCCAGACTTTTCCGTGAAATAAAGGCCGACTACCTGGTACCCATACCCTACGAGTCGTGGCACCACTTCACACAATTTGGTGCGGAACTGCGTCAAGTCTTTCAAGAAGAGAAGATCAACGATCGCGTGTGCTGGCTAAACCCTGGGAAATCTGTGAAAGTTCTCTAATTGCTTAATGCTTCCCAATCTGACTCAGAGATTAGCGGCTGGTGGACGTATGCCGCACCGACGGGAAGGCATTTGAATGTACATCAATTTGGTAGTGTCTAGTCTTTTGTATGTCGCATTTGTGGAGGTGATTTCTAAAGCAAACCCACTTAGGGCCTTTTTCCCCAAATCCTCTTGTGAGAATTGTAGTGAAAGGTTCTCGGGCTTAGACATAGAGTGTTATACAGCAAGTGAACTGAAGGCTTCCTTTGATATAATGTACAATATGTTATACTTGCATTCAAAAGAGAATTAAGGGATGATCTTAAGAAATAGCCAAGTGTAAAATACTAAGGTCTCTGTCAGAATCTCAGAAATATCCATTGTCTGAAACTTCGACTTAGTCTGCCATACACGATGCAAATGGTCCACGACGGTGGGCCGCCAAGACAAGGTAGTTTCCGATCCCGACCATATTTGCAAGAATTAATTTAATTCTTCGCCACTGACGCTGTCCGACAAGTCACACTGCAGGCAGCTAAAACTGGGGACGAGATCTAGCCACTGCAACGATGTCGTCCTTCCGGGTACGTTTTGAACCGGTCAAATGCTTGACCCCAGCTAGACAAGAACGATTCCAAGACAACTCACCAGAACCGCCGATCGCGCCGAGGCGAAGGCCTAAAAGCAAATTAGGATGCCGAGAGTGTAAAGCAAGGCGGGTCAAATGCGACGAGACTTTCCCCGTATGCTTGCGCTGTGTCCGTCGCGGATTAGTCTGCTCCTCGACACCTCGCCTGTCACAATGGCAAATCGAGACGCGCTGGTACTCGTCACACGTGGACACCATCGTTAATCGACGGCTCCTCCAATACTGGCTAGAAAGAGTGTGTCAAATATTAGTCATTGATCCTGAAGACAATCCGTTCTCGTTCCCTGTCTTGGAATACATACAGGAATCCCCGGCACTGGTGCATATCATCCAGTCCGTGAGCGCCCGTCATGAACAATATTTTTCTGCAGAAGTGGCACGCATTGCTCTCGAGGAGAGGGGGAAAGCCCTAGTATCCTTCCGAAAGGAACTAGGGACTGGGCAGACGCGACCATTACTGTCCATGCTTACTGCGTTGCTACTGGCGCTGTCGCACGGAGCTGATCGTGATATGACTGATTTTGGTAAATGGCATCTGTTTGCCGCACGCACGTTGATCAACAAAATGCTCGAGGATACATCGCATCCATGGGATATGAACCCATTATTTAGACTGTGTCTGGGTATGTATCTGTACTGGGATATGGGATGCTCGTACCTGGTGCACCCAGACGAACAGCAAGATCTAGATACACCAGGTCTATCCTTGGCCGTGCAACATATTGGCCATTGGCACCATCCAATGTACGGATTCTGTACTGACCTAATCTTCATCCTGGGAAACTTGGGCCGGTATTGTCGACAGCTCCTCTATTCAGGGTGTCGGTCTTTCGCCCGAGAGGCACTTTTAGAAGAACAGTTATATCTGTGGAGCGCACCATCAACCGAGCCTACCCTAACGCTCCTATACGAGTCACTACGAAAACACGGGCTAATTCTGCTCTATCGAACCTGTGGATGGAATGATGCCTTTATTAACCCGTGCCTTGAGGAGATTGGCCTGGAACCCCTAGTCCATCGTTATGCGTTAGAAACCATCGATCACCTTCTCAAAATCCCAGCATCCTCAAATTACCTGAACTTCCAGTCTATCCCACTTCTTACAGCTGGGTCAGAACTGAAGAGAGAAGATAACAAACTGAGAGACGATGTCCGGCATCGACTTCGCGCGCTGTATTCGGTGAATCGATTGCCTGTCAACCTTCACGCCTTTGAGCTTCTTGAGGAAATTTGGGCAGCCCGTGATATTGGTAACGATAAGTCATCTTGGATTCATCATATGCTCCGGAGAGGGTGGTTATTGGTCCTTGGGTGACAGTTTATGGAAGGCTGGGTGGGGCGAAGGTGAAAAGGAAAATTATTGATGATAAATAAAGCGCTTATGTTGGAATATATAATCTGAAGTAGTATGTAGTGTTTAATAATTAGGAGTTTCGGCGACTGATAATGTTGTGGTAGCAAGTTTGACATCTCTCTTAGAATGATATAGAGAGTAGGGAAAAATCAATGTGTTGTAGGTAAATGAAACAGGAATCCGGCATATAGTCAGTAGGATGTAAACCCTAACAAAGACTACATGGAATGGTAATTGCCGATAGGGCTAATGGTTCTTTGTTCACTTCAGCGTGTCTCTCATTGGCTTGGGAAATTGCCGACTAGATTGATTGTTGGACAATACCCTAGGTATGATCCGTGGGGATTTGCATATATAGCCACTTCATCTCACTATACTCACCAGCTTGCGATGTCGTCGTGGAATAGTCCGGTTCAACAATGGGGAACGCAGATAGGCTTACCCAGATAGACCACCCGTAGTAGAATATTAGAAGATCAAATGAAGATTCCTAGCTGTGATGTACGATTCCAACCAGAATTCAACATACTGCTATGCGGTGAACCCCCGGTTTAGAAAGGCAACTTGCGTAAAGTCTAATGAAACATAAGTTGGCAAGTTGAAACGCTTGGTGTATATATTCTTCTCATGACTCCTGCTTCCCAACATGTTATCACTATCCCGTGATGTTCATCTTGCTTTAACCTTGGACTTATACTGACTACTTTTCAATTCCCATTCTCTAAGATACCTTATAAGGACGAAAACCGGTGCAATAGCTTTTTCTATGCATCATGTCCATACCATCTAGGAAAGCATCTAGAACATCACAGGCTAAGGCAGTTCTCGATGAGGCCAGGCCACTCTTCGAAGCAGCCAAAAGGGATGAAATAGAGCCCGGGGATTTTAATATGGATCAGCTTCTGACGCAAGAGTTTAAGCAAGGGATGTATGAAATTGTGAAGGAAATCGACAGACAGGGACACCCTCCACGACCTGTACGGGTGCATCTTATGGGACCTTGCATCGAGAGGCCGACTGTTCTGACTCATATCGGCCTCAATCAACAAGGTAAATCACCATCTTTCTCCTTATCGGTCCTTTTTTTTTTTTTTCCCTTTTTGCTACTTTTTACTATAATTCGGGAGGAAATAACATTTTCAAAGACCTGAGCAATCTTAAACGCCTTAGGCACGACAACCGGAGGTACAGAATGGCCATTTACAAGTGGGAATTACCATTTTACGTTAAAAAAAATGCCTACCTGCTTGGGAAAGCGACTATGATGAGAAATTACACTTCTGTTAATGTGGCAACTTGTGAAGCACGACTTACAGAATCGGGCGGCGATGTTTTGGTTTATCTGATGAAACTTTTGATCAAATTGGCCAGAGACCTAGATATCGACGCCCCAATTTCTGCATACAATATACACCGTGTGTTAACTAATGATATACCTGCTTGTTATCAATATCTGATCCTATGTACAGTGCAACGTATATCAGGGGAGTGCATGATCATCCTCGCTCAACCTGACAGAATCATTATGTCAGTGACGCGAAGGCTCCAGACGGTAGTAGCGCTAATGATGATTTGGGTATGCGGGACATTTCGAAAGTTCAAGGAAAACAAAATTTGCTACTCCAGTGTGTCTCTCGACCGCTCATCCACATTACTTGATTTAAAGGATTTGAAACCTTTATCCCACCGCTATAATATCAACCTGTTGGCCCGGCGGTTGTTCACAAATGGCATTATATTCACCAAACATGATTACGCGAACGACCACAGATTTTTCCAAATGAGTTGTGAGGAATTGCTGCAACGCGCAGATAAACCAAAGAGATATGATCTTCCAAAAGATCGCGGAGTCATTTTTCTGGGTCAATCTATAGCGCTGATCCCGATAGCCGTTGATGGTGACCACAACACCGTCACTTGGCGCTGTGAGATTTGCTACGACTACAGGCCACAAGAGAGCTTTATTACGCAAATTCTCATCCCCGAACTTTCACCAAGTAGGTTCCACTGGGACCGCACATACCTCGATAGGGAGCGTGACCGGGACATAAGAGCAACAACCGCATTGGTGTTCCATGGCAGAGATAGGCCAGCTTTGCCCTTACCGGGACCTACGGTAATCTACTAAGATATTTCCAATGATCACGGTATTTATTTGTTTTGGAGTTATTGCTATCTTGAATGTTACTCATGGGCACTTTCTTAGCCTACATATTTGAACAAGTCGGCGTATAAGACTTTACCCGTCAATGGAAGCAAATAGTTCAATCAATGAAACGTTAATCGGGAAGCTTACACATCGTATCTAGACAAGTCGTAAGTTTTATAAGGGTTCCGAAAGAGCGTCACGCGTAAATATCTTCAAGAATCTATTGTCCTTCGTCCAACAGCCCGCATATCTCTTGCAAAATATAGCCTTTCATCTTGTGAGAGATAATAAGGGCAATGTTACTGAACCCCGGCAATGATGTTTGAGTTCAGTATGTACTTCAGATATACATCAGCCCGTACTTATACTCGAAGGAAAACAACGTCGCATAGTTAGAGACACGGATCATCTGTGATCGATGGCAAGGCATGGTAAACAGATTTATCCATCAAGCTGCCAACGAAGCAATATTATGTTAACAAAACAGGACTGGCTATCCTGAGGGGTTTGTGCATGGTGGCCTTGCAAACCTGGCAGGTACATGAGAGTTAATGACACAGATCGCTCCGAATGCAAACCCATCTAGTGGCAGCGAGAGATCGAGTGATTGCTACATGGAAGAAGGGCAGGAGGCTGATAATATATATGCGGGCCTCGAGAATCAGCCTGTGTGAACCGATAGCGCTTGCAACGTATTTTACTTTCTTCCTTAAGGGACGAGTTATTTTTCACACGAAAGCTAGATAGTTCATAGCTGACTACCTGACGCCTCTGATGGCAAATCTTGTGGGAATGAAGGTTGTACTTTGAGAGGAATGCTACCAGATTGCACGCTTTCCGTTTACCATATGATTTGAGGACTAGGTCTATTATAGTGTCCTCATGATGGCCTAGAATTTGCGTGTACGGAGAGCGAAGAGGCTAGGAATGGACTTGCCAGGGCTCTTGAGCTAGAGTACCGCTGTTTGTATCAGCTACTAATACTGACTGGCAGTACTTCGTAGTTCGCATGGTAAAAATATTTTGCGGACACACTGGACCCCACCACAAGTTTAACCGATCTCGGTACGTCGACTAGAGTAATACGATCTGTACCGCAAAAGCGGCAGAAGCCGCCAGGGTTGCGGGTCGGGTAAAGTCAGCATGACCCGGAACTGGTACCGAGTCTGGGTCCAAACCTAACATCATCGGGATACGCTACCAAAAGAAAAACACAACGCAAAGAGAAGACAAGAAAGGCAGGAAGACAATCGTGCCTAACATGACAGTCAGAATTAGTAACGTACAGAATTTACATAAGCACGGTTGACTGGTCCCACAGGCGTCTAGCAGCAACCATAGTTCCTACAAAACACCGTTCAATAGCGGAAATAAGTTAAGCAGATTCAATAAGAACATTACCCCTAGTTAAGTATTTTAATACCACTAAGCAAAATTACGTGAACCGGTATAATATGCTAGGATATGCATACCTATTGCGGTAAATGGAAGCAACGATCCTTGGCATGTAATCTCAAGTAGATAGAAAGGGGTCTAAAGTATTGCACCCGAGGGCTCGCGTAAAAATCTCGGCCTATAATGGACGAGGCCGAGCCTCCGGGCATTCTGGGCATTCTAGGCATAAGGTTGCCAAGCCCAATCAAGTTGTTACGGTTTTTCAGCAATTAACAAGGGTAGTATGATATGTACCACTTTACTCAAGGATCCACTGTTTACTCCAATAATCAAGTAACTCCAGAACTCATAGGACCCTTAACTCCGAAGGCTTACTACTATTATGTTGAGCTTTTTCGCTAGGAGTGCAGTACTGATACCCCTGTATATATAGTTATGTAGTGGGGGTTGAACGCCGTTACGTTTATTTCTTACAATAAACTACTATAATAGATGAATTCTATGCAACTACTGCATCGACCACAGAACCTTTGGAGTACAGCAAAAGTGACAGGGGTTTGATCCTGCAACCCTCGGTCCTAGGAGGTCCGTACCAAGATAGGCCTGATTGCCAAGGCCTGGTCGCTCTAGTCTAATCTTATCTATCCATCTAATCTGATCCCGGTGGCTTGGCGCCAACATGTTATGGGTAGGACGGTATTTGATGTATATAAATGACATACTGTATGGTATGGTAATGGAACTTTACCAGTCTTGGCGAAATTGAATGGTTCCATCCCACTATATCATTTCTACCCACTATCGCTCTCTTAATGATCACAGCCACCCTCTCTATTATTCTGTTTCACATACACCCTACTGTGTCCGACACAGGCTTCAGAGGCTGTCCAGGCTTTTTCTAGTCTAAAGGGTAACTTGGTTCCCATATTGACGGCAATACTTGCCCAAGGCTGAACAACACCATATGAACTGAGTCTATAGTAGTGTGCCTCTTAGAACCTGGAATGACTGTGGTAGCACCATTCCAAGTGACGGTACTCTACTGCTACCGAGAGTTTGAATAGGTCCGAGGCCTTTGTCCTGCCAAGCGCGTCCTCTCCACTGGTCCGCTGGTTTCGACCGTATTGACTGACCTGGGAAATTGTAGGTTGATCATTATTATCAATCACCCAAGCTAGTACGGAGTACAGTCAAAATTTTCATGTCATTCTCACCGAACAACCTGAGCATCGTCTCTTCCAGATCCTTGGCGCCGTGCTGTATAGTTCCGTAGCGAGATGTGTGACCCGTTCTTGGGGAACGAAAGACGGCCCCCATCGGCATCGTTGAATCTTTTTAGGTTCTCTTTCTGTGGATTAATCTACTGCTGCAAGCAATGCAGGCAAGATCGTCGACGAGGGCCAATGAACGCCGCGATAGATGAATGCACCAGGACACATACACACATCCCTTATCCAGAATGGCTTGGCCCCAAGAAAGGCTTACCATCAACTAGGATTGGATCAACAGTAGAATCGAGCTTACGATTGTTTCTTTACAGTACAACGACAAGCCGTCTCAGCAAAACTGGGGCTCAGCAGCTTTACCAACGTGCTCCGATAGCCAGATCGTAGATATATAAAGGGCGACCGAGCATGGCGGAAAAGCTTGAGCTGTACATCCATACCTGCAAGAAGAAGATCAAGCCCTTTGCATATTGCTAGCTCATATTCTACTTCCCCATTCGGCTACCATGACCCAAGCAACTTTGCGCACCGAGCGCCTTGAATTGGTGCCCCTCGGCCCCGAGGACCTCAAATTCACCATGCTGCTAGACAAGGATCCGGATGTCATGAAATACATTGGCTTTGGCAAGCCACTTGACCACAAGCAAGCGATCGAAGTTCACCAATGGCTCCTCAACTCAGCAACCATCGTCCCCGGCTTCGGGTGTTGGGTCGGCTTCGCCGGTGGCGAGTTTGTTGGCTGGTGGATACTGGCTCCTTGCCCAAGCGAAGGCACAGAGCAATTCAGCAAAGACCGATCAGAGTTTGGGTACCGCCTTTTACCGAAGTTTTGGGGGCAAGGTTACGCGAAGGAAGGATCGCGTGAGTTGCTGAGGCACGCTTTCCAGGATTTAGGTCTATCTGAGGTTATTGGCGAGACTATGGCTGTGAACGCGGCTTCTCGGGCGGTAATGGCAGCTTGCGGATTGAAACATGTCCATACCTTCTACAACAAGTACGATAGCCCACCTCCTGGAATCGAAGAAGGCGAAGTGCGGTATCGGATTACCGAGGATGAGTGGACAACGTTGGTTGCTGCACAGTAATTGTTCCCAGCCCTTGTGCCAAGTGAATTGCTTCTGGGATATATGGGTTACAAAAGCCTCCTAACTATCAATGAAATAATTTTGTCACGCCCAGTAATGTCAAATGAAGGCCCAGGCAGATCTAGACGTGGTGGTCCAACAGGTTTCTTATCGCCCCTTGCTAGGACCAAATGCCTCTCTCAAAATCCTTCCTTACTTCTGCTCGGCTATTAAAATTCCGTCCATACAGCCAAGGCCGAATGGTGCAACCTGCCAAGACCCTACATTGTAACTAGGGCACGTAGTGCTCTGTCCTGGGCTCTGAACCAGCTTTAGCTGGATGTCCTGAATATGAAGAGCTATCGCACCCGAGCCACAGAGCAGTAGCGTCAGAAAATTAGCGATAGCCCTAGATGTCATTAGTTGTAAATAAGTATTGTGCGGCTTTAGGTGAGACTTGTACAACAACCCGGGCAATATCAGCGCAGCCTGGTAATAGTGCGCTTTTAGCTTTTAGCTAGGCGTAATCTTGGGACTTGGCTGCTCGTATTGAGTTGTAACATTACTCGCATGCCAACCTCTCTCAGAAACAGGCTAGATCTGTTTCATACCTGCTGCCTGCTTGTTCATTTTTCTTGCTTTCTCATTTCTGTTTGTGAGTCCACTTTTATTTCCTTTTAAGTCTATGTGTCAATGTGCGTCTTGATATGCCAAGGTGTCGCTGTAGTTCCTTTCGACTGTGTATATATTTCGTCTTATCAAAACAGTAGACACGGAAGGTAAATTCCGATGCGTGGACTCGGAAGCCAAGTCGAGATCCTGGTGGAAAATGTGCATGGGATGCACGCCACACATTGGAAAACTAGTCAACGTCGAATCAGTCGACTTATTGTCACCCCACGTCCGAGCTTTTCTTTGCTAATTGCCCAGAAAGCCGGATCTAATCAATCAATCAGATAAATTTGACCCAAGAAATTTCCGAACGGTCCCCCCGGTCCGCCCCGTATGACCTGATTTCTCGAATCAGTGCTCAAACAGCCGATCTCGGTGTACATGGACCATCCGGCTAATCTTACTCTTTATCAGATGAGATTAAAATTCTATTTTTCTTTTCTTACCGCCTGATGCGTGAAAGCTGCAAGGGCGACCGTTCGGCCGGGTCTGCACATCAGCTTTAAAAGCTTCGGCTCTTCGCTCTTTTATGATTAGCATTCCGCTGCGTGCTCCTTTGCGTCTTCACCGGGTCGATCCAACAACGATGGCAATCGGGAATAGGTTTCAACAGCTTGTTGGGCGCCAGCAGCCCAGCGGCACTCATGAAGCTCCTACTGTGGAAGATATCGAAACTCCGGTAACCGTCAATGCAGCCCCCTACGACAAGGAAGGTGCCACCGGCTCACCCCAGGATAACACGGCAAGCAGTGATGATGATAAATCATTACCGCATGAAGATGCACAGCGTGGTGTCAAGAAGATCGAGGCTGTGACTCTGGCTTGGTCGAAGGCAACGCTGGCCATGTTCCTGATACTGTATTTTCTACCCCCTATGACGCTTACTTGTGGCGGTATGTAACTAATACAATTTGTTCTCCATAGCATTTGGATTTACACCCTGGCTAATGGATTCAGGTCCTCAATCCTGGCCAGCTTGACACCCTATGCTACGAGTGATTTCCAGTCTCATTCCCTGTTGACTGTCATCGAAATTGTAGCAAGTGCCATGACATCAGCGGTGTACATTCCTATGGCGAAGATGCTGGACGTTTGGGGCCGTGCTGAAGGCTTTCTCCTTATGCTGTGCTTTGCCACTCTGGGCCTAATTCTTATGGCAGCATCCAACAACCTTCCTACCTTTTGCGCAGCACAGGTAATACAACCCCCCTTTTGAACCACCAGAGGCCTTGAACTTACTAACCGTTATACGGATAACAGGTATTCCAATCAGTTGGGCTTGGAGGCATGACTTATAGCATAAATGTCCTCTCAGCCGACGTAACCAACCTGAGAAATCGAGGGTTGGCGTTCGCTTTCGTCTCATCGCCATGGATGATCACTGCGTTTGCTGGATCCAAAGCAGCAGAAGAATTCTTACTACACGTCAACTGGCGATGGGGATTCGGCTCCTTTGCCATCATTATACCCGCGGTCTCCATTCCCGTATACACAGTGTTGAAGGTCAACCTTCGTAAGGCTGAGAAGAAAGGCCTTGTAAATCACGAGAGGAGTGGCCGAACCCTGGTACAGAATATAATACACTACCTTATACAGTTTGATTGTGGGTAGCTCGACGCAGCCCTTCCTAAACTCTTGGAGTTACTAACTTTCTTTCGCTATACAGTGCCTGGTGTCATCTTGTTCGCTGCCGGTCTTACCGTGTTTCTACTCCCATTCACACTCGCGCGTTCTGCTCCCAACGGCTGGAAGTCAGACTACATCATTGCCATGATTGTAGTCGGCTTTGTCCTCCTCCTTCTCTTCGCCGCCTACCAGGTGTACCTGGCTCCCGTGCCATTCCTGAAACATGACTACCTAATTAACCGGACCGTTCTGGGCGCATGCCTTCTCGACTTCGTATACCAGATGTCCTACTACTGCTGGAACAGCTACTTCACGTCTTTCCTCCAAGTCGTCAATAACCTCAGCGTCTCAGAGGCCGGGTACGTCAATAGCACGTTCCAGGTCGTCTCCGGCGTTCTCCTATTCATTGTCGGCTACCTGATCCGCAAAACGGGCTATTTCCGATGGCTCCTGTGGATCGGTGTGCCTCTCTACATCTTCGCCCAGGGTCTCATGATCCACTTCCGCCAACCGAACGGATACATTGGCTACATCGTCATGTGCGAGATCTTCATCTCCATCGGTGGTAGCGTTTTCACCCTCTGCATGCAGCTCGCCGTCTTGGCCGCCGTCGACCACCAACACGTCGCCGCCGCAATGGCCATTCTATTCGTGTCCGGTGGCATTGGTGGTGCAGTCGGAAATGCTATCTCCGGTGCCATCTGGACAAACACCTTTGAGAACTCCCTGGCCAACTATCTCCCTGAGTCCGCGCTGCCGAACCTGACTAGTATCTATGCCAGTTTGCCGGTACAGCTAAGCTATGCCGTTAATAGCCCCGAGAGAATAGCAATCCAGAAGGCATATGGTTATTCGCAGACGAGAATGTTGGCCGCGGGAACTGGGCTTATGGCACTTGCCTTCGTCGCTGTTTTCATGATCCGCAACTTGAACCTGAAGAATATGACGCAGACGAAGGGTGTTGTGTTCTGATGTTATTTTTTGTTGGTAGATAGTATATTGGAAGAGGGCCCAGTGGATTGTGTGTATGTGTGTATGTGGTTGGGCGCCTCTTATCGGGCTTAATGTGGATATTCCTCTGGAGAGGTAATTTGTCTTTTTGTTGGTTATCTTGTTGCATTGCATATACTATTGGGAAGAAGAGTCGGTCGGTTAAAATTTAAAGATAGATACAGATAATCCTCTGGGCGAATGACATTATGTGTGGAATTTTAAAAAATTACATTCATGAATATCACCATGTACAGCGCTCAGGATTGATCTATCTCTCCTAGTTGACTGTGTCTTCACTTATCCATTATCATTAAGGGCTTCACAACGACGGTGAGTTGCCTTGTCGGCTACCATTATAGAGAACCTATAGAAATCAAATTTCAATGTAGAGCGACAAGGAACTGGATGACAACACTACAAGAGCTTGGGATAGTCAGAACCGACGTAGAATTTTGTAAAAATTATAATTAAAACTGTGGATAAGAATGATGCAGACAAAGAGATCTATATAATTTTAGGTTTCTAATAATGGAATGACCATGCAATCCAAGAAATGGTCAACGACTTCTTTGTAATATCCCCCCCCCCCCCAGAAAATGCAGTATGCTCTCTCTCCTTAAATCAGAGATGAAAAAAGACCTTCAACCATCTACCGCCTGGTTCAGGGCATTCACGCGATAACTCTCGCTGCGCTCAATCAGCTGTGCATGAGTTCCGCGGTCAACGCATCGACCATCTTCAATTAGGAAAATCACATCCGCCTTGCGGATAGTATACAGTCGGTGCGCAATCGCAATAACAGTCATATGCTTCGTGGCCTTCTCAAGCCCATCCTGCAGCAATCTCTCTGATTCTGCATCCAGTGCACTCGTTGACTCGTCCAGCAGCAGGAGTTTAGGCTTGCGGATGAGCGCGCGCGCAATCGCTAATCGTTGCTTCTGACCTCCAGAGAGCCGGTCACCGTTTGGCCCACAGTAGGCATCATATCCATCTGGAAGCTGCATGATCGTATCGTGGATGTTGGCCAGTTTACATGCTTCTTCTAATTCGGACTGGGTAACTGTTTGGCCTGGCCTGGCGCCTAGGGTCAGATTGAATCGGATCGTGCCCTCGAACAGGACACTCTGTTGAGGAACATAGGCAATATCATCTCGGAATGAACCGTCGCTGTAGGCGATATTGTGACCGTCGACTTCGATTGTTCCCGAGTCAGGTCCGTAGAGCCGCTCGACAAGTGAGATTATTGTGGACTTGCCCGCCCCGCTGGGGCCCACGAGCGCGGCAAACTGCCCTGGCTGGACGTTCAAATCCAGACCGTGTAGCACCCGGGTGTCTGGACGCGCAGGGTACGAAAAGCGGACTTGCTTGAAGGAAACACCGATGCCGTCACGGGAGTCAGAAGAGGATGTCTTCTCGCGGGGAGGTGCCGTGGCTTCGAGATCCCCCGGTTGCTCGAGCGGTGCAGATAGCTTCTTCGTCGATCCCAAATCGAGTAGGTTCAACAGTCGCCTCGTGGCCTGGAATGCGCGCGACACGTCGGGTGCGAGGGCGAACATTTGTCCCCATAGTTGGGAACTGACGAGCAGTGCTAGCTGCACAATGAAGAACTGTGTTTGAGTGTATTCACCCGCGATGATTCTCGTCGAACCCCACCAGTACGCGAGTGCATAGAGGAAGTTACTCAGTCCGTACCCGACGGCTAGCCATAGATTTGCCCAAGCGCTCTGTCGAGCTATTTGGCGCATTGGGGCCGAAAGGGACCGACGGTATGTACCAAGCACTTCGTGCTCCAGAGAAAGCGACATAATGGTTTTGATGGAGTTGACGGCCTCAACGGTAATTCCCACAGAGTTTGCAAAGGCTTCTAGATGTCGCTCCTCGAAACTGGCTAGCGTGGTAACTCGCATATAACCAGCGCCCAGCAACAGCGGGATCACAGATAGACATACCAGAGCAATCTTCCAAGCAATGATGTGTGTCATAGTAATGGTCGCGACGAGACTGACTAGAACCGAGAGGATCGTGCAGACCACAGAGCCTGTTAGGCCACCCAACGCACTGCTGTCCTTTGTAATGAACGATAGCAATAGGGATGGGTTCCGATTTGCTGTCTCGTGCCATGCTAAATCCTGCTCGAGAATGGACCGCAGCGAGAGTATACGCACTTTGTAAATAACTTGTTCAGCCACCCAACCAAACAGCGACCAGCTGACAAAATTAGCAAAGAATTCGACAATAGCCAGCACAAAGAACATCAGTCCGAAAAGTTCTCCGGCATGACGGATGGAGTCAGGCTCCTCGCAGCCACTGAGTTTGCCTACGACGTTGCCGAAGATCACCGAAGATCCGCAATACGTGCCGCCGATGATCACAGCCCCAGCGATCGCCAGGATTAGCACGAATGTGTACGGTCGGAAGAGGGATCCCATAGAGCCCAGAGTTGATCCAAGGCTTCGCTTTTCCTCAACCGCACTGTCTGGCTCCGCAGTCTCCGCAGGCTTGGTCTTCTCTTCGTCAATGGCATCGACCACAGATGAGGTCTCCAAAGCTCCGGCCTTCTCACTGATTACTGGCACCAAAGAATTGGAACGCGCGGAGCTCACCTCCGTCTCTTCATCATCTTGACCGCCGTGAACGTTGAGGTTTTGGAGACGAACTAACTCAGCATAGGCACCGTTAACCTCCAGCAGTTGCTGGTGGGTTCCCTGTTCTACTAGCTTTCCTTGACGCATGACGATAATGTTGTCGGCATTCTTGATAGTCGACAGACGATGCGCAATGGTAATCACAGTCCGGCCGATCGCCACGTTATCTAGTGCCTCTTGGATACGGGCCTCGGTCGCCGAGTCGAGTGATGCAGTAGCTTCATCCAGGATGAGGATACGCGGGTCTTTCACCAAAGCTCGCGCCAGGGAGATGCGTTGCTTTTGCCCACCGCTGATGAGATTGCCCTTTGACCCAACTAGTGTTCCAAAGCCGTCTTTCAAGCGCTCAATGAACCCGTTCGCATCGGCCAAAAGAGCAGCGTGCAGGACCAATTCCACGATTTCTCGTGCTTCATCCCCATGCGCGAGAGAAGCGGTCACCAGATCCTTGCCATCTCGCACTGCTGCCGCGACGTCCGCGAGAACACTACCCATGAGAATGTGACACAGGTGGTCGTGCCTAGGAGAGTTGATGAGCCCCAGCGCGATGTTTTCAAGGATTGACCGATCCAAAAGACATGGCTCCTGCTGTACGAGACTTATATGACTACGGACAGATCTCACGTTGAGATCCTTAACATCGTGGCCATCTAACAGTACCGCGCCCTCATCCACATTGTAAAATCGAGTGATCAACCCAGCAACGGTAGACTTCCCACTGCCTGAAAGGCCGACAATGGCTGTCTGCTGACCAGCTGGGCATGTCAACGAGAGGTCCTGTAGCACGGGCTTGTCCGGTCGGGACGGAAACCTGAATGAAACGTTCCGCAATTCCACATTTCCCGTAACCTCTGGCAGCATGCGACCGGTATCTTCAGCGGTACCGTCAATGGTAGTCGGATGTTCAATGTCGGCTTCTAACTTGCCGAATGCTACGGCCGCGGCGTCAAAGCTTTGCAGAAAGGGGGCGGCCTGACTTAGAATCAAAGATGCTAGGATCGAGATTTAGCATGGCATAAATCCACAACACTCAATAGGTCTGATACACTTACCATCCACCAGAATGAGAATAACTGTAAACGTGTTACCCACGGTTATGCCATTGTCACCAGACTCTACAGCATCTGCAATTTGTCGCGACCCTTGCCAGAAGGCCAGACCGTTGGCCGAAAAAGCGATGAAATATAAAAGACCCGCCTGCGTGGCTGCAGCAATCGATTTCGAAACGCCGGCTGATAAAGCAGGTTGCAAAACTTCAACGAATTTCTCCTCCAGCCGTGCATTTGCCGAAAACGCCTGCACAACCGTTGTGTTTGAGAATGCTTCCAGTGCGACCGATGAAGCTTTCGCCATACCCTCCAGTGCGCGGCCGAAGAACTTCTGCACGAAATACCCTCCGCCTATGGACATGATCAGGTACGCTGGGGTGAGGGAGACCAGCATGCCGGCCAGTTTGGGGTCCTTGATGAAGGCCACTATGTATGCGGTGATGAAGAATGCGATACTGTTTATCACAATGCCGACCTTCTCTGATGAGCCTTGTTGTATGACGGCGATTTCCCCAGTGATTCGTGAGGAGACCTCTCCAGCGGGTAGATTGTCGAAGAACGCGGCATCCTGGCGCAGGATAGCGCTGAAATATTTCTCTCGCAGACGCTGGGCTAGACGCTCACCGGAGAGATTCCAGCAAAGGACGTAAATGTAAATGAGAGCGAAATAGGCGATACCAATATATACGATCAACAAGATTTTATCATTGAGCCCCGCTTGGTAGGAGTCAGCGTTGGAGGGGGTGACATTGCACGTTGAGGAATTTAGCCCATCCACTAGCTGTCCGAAAACAATTGACATTATAGGAAAGGGAATTCCAGAGGCGATTGAAGTGATAAAACCGGTGAAGAGAAGGGCAAGGTCGGACGACGAGGGGCTGCCATAGACCAGCAAGCGACCGAACGAGGTGGCACGGCGCATAAGCTGTAGACAAAGACGTCGCTATGAGTTCAAGCGCATCATGCAGAAAAGGATCGAGGAATAACTTACACTGGCCTTAACTGGCGCCTCTGCGTCCTTGGACGCTTCCGATGCAGTACCCATGATGCCTTGGGAAGTTTAACGTTACTCTATCGTGAGCAACGATACCAAGCAGCTAGACAAACATGCGAAGGTGAAAGGACAATCCTCGACGGGATCGCTACTAATTTGTTCGAGTGAAGGCTCCGGCGGCACTCTGCTCCCGCCTGCAAAAGTCCATCAGACGCAAGCAATGTCTAGTTCTCTGGGCATGACACATAACGAATCCACCCGACCATCCCATTCCCTTTTTGATGCAATGTGCCGACCTCGGACAGGAACTAGGCCGACACTCAATTTTTATCAGATCCGAGCTGATTCTTCAAGCGAGCAACGCCAAGAACGCGCGATATTGATGCCAAGGGGCCAGGAGTTGGAGTCGCTGCATCTGATTAGGGTTCCGTTTGGTTAGGTATTGTGTATGGTATGGGATGGTATGGTCACGTCTTGTATGTATCGGACCGTCATAACAGTACGCCCAGACCCTTCGACCCTCCAAGGATCCATTGGAATCCACTTAGCAACTGATAAAGCGCTTGGCTTGACCTGTCTTAGTTTACGCATTCAAATTCGGTAAGCAAAAAGAGGTCTCGCCGCTGTGTGTAAGCAGCTAAGGATAACCATCACAACCCCCCCCCCGCCCAATATTTGCCGAAAACGGAAAAAGCCTCAGCCATTATTCCGTCACTGGGGCAGGTAAAGCACTTCTGTGAATGGGGTTGAGTCTACGGACTATGACTAAATATTACAAATTTTGCTATCCCAATTAACTCACAGTTGTCAGCAGGTTACATTTCTAGTCAGGTCTCCGTTCCTATATCCGCACCATGAGCTACATAAGTTTGAGCGTGAGACCTGTCAAGAACGCGTCTCTTTCATGTCGGCTCAGAATTATATGTTAAGTCCATCTGTTCTTTCCTTTCTATCTAGCCAAGTCGGATCCCTACATACTCGCCGTATGGCTGTTACCAAGGTTTGCTCTGATCTACAAGTTCGGAGATATAACTCATGCTATGGAGTACTCAAAAGATAAATATATAGCTTCTGGATGCACCACAACTAGTATCTTCCCCTACTTCAGTAAATCATTGAATATTGAAGGAGACTGCGAAATGAAATTCCCATGGATTTATTAGAACCATACTATAGAAATGAGTCGCCTTAGAGGTCGGGATGCACACTGAGAAGTAGTTTACGCTACCACAAATCAGCAGCTTATTCAGTCACGGCCATAGACACAAACACAGACACAGCTGCGTTCATGTGCCTCATGTGTCATTTATCTAGCTGGAACATGTCGGTTCCAAATTCAAGATAAAGATCCACTGGCGTTCCCAAGCATCATGAAAAGATCATTACACTGGGCCGAGAGCTTCAAGGATGTCTGGCTTATGGGATTAGTTGGACCTTCACATAGACAGATCATGGAGGTATTTAGAACTATATATTGCTCTACCTATACAGTTGCCCTCCTGTGTGAGCTGAGCTCATGTAAAAACTCTTCCCCATGACAAGCCCGTTGTTATGAGCCCCACTGCCAAGTCACTAATCACACTCACTAGTGGAATCCCAAGAATGTCCGGCCGTGAAATTTTCTTCGCTCTATATGCCGTGTTTCTCATTTATTGGACCCGGGTCGATCCGGATTAATTTTTGGCAGCTTGGAGTCTGTCCTTCAGAAATATCTCAACTTACAGGAGGCCAAGGACTCGAATGGTCAATCGATCGGAGTTTAAACGGTTGTATGACTGAAAGATCATATTCTGCACCGGAAATTCCTACCAAGATTATTATTTCGGAGATTAAAACTTCAACCAATTACCATTTCGAGCTCACTCGGACCCATACGAACCCACCGGATACGAGATGCTGTGAGTGTTCTTCCGGACAACCCATGATCTAATCTGATCTGATTAAGGGCCCAGCCTTCTAGGCGATTGGGCGTTAATTCGTCCTCCAGTCGGCACTAAAAGTTAGTGCGTCGGGCGTTGGGCTCATCAGATAAGGAGCAGACACCCAGTATACGTAGTAGTAGTGCTTCACTGGTCCCCCTCGTTTCCAATATGTGGACCCGAACGCTGGCTGCGGCATTGGTCTCCCTTCGACCTTCCCTTCCGAGGGAATTCCTCAAAAGTACCTTCGCCCCGGCCAGCCAGCACAACTTTTTTCGTGACACTATTCAACCACGCGCCCAACCTCCTTCTAGCTTCACAAAATCCTTTCGGCAGATATCAACTGTGAATATGGGCGACAAGGCAGCAGCAATCACGCTTCCTAACTCGGAGCAATTCTATCTGGACAGTGAACAGGGTGAATCATATTTGATCCAAGTCTCTTGGCCACTTCATTGGCAAGGCCACGACCCCCCTGTTGGGAACGAGCAACTTCCGATCATGTTAGTAAAACCAAAAATCCAAACGGACATTCTCTAACCCAAAACCAGATACATTGTCGATGGAAATGCACTATTTTTAACCGCGACAGAAGCCGCCTGGCGTCGAGCAGCTTCGTCACATTTCGCCGGAGGAGGCATCGTCGTCGCGATCGGATATCCCTTAACCAAAAAATTGTACGATGCGCGTCGTCGCAGTTTAGACCTAACACCACCTACACAAGCCCAGGTAAACGGATATGGAGGAGCGGATCTGTGTCTTGACTTTATCGAGAAAGCCGTTCGTCCCGCGATCAAGGAGCGATTTCCGAAGCTGTCGTTCTCGAGAGAAGCTCTCTATGGTCATTCCTATGGGGGGTTATTTGCCCTGCACGCATTGTTTACACGCCCGCAGTCCTTCGACTGCTACATAGCGAGCAGTCCCTCGATATGGTGGAATAGCCGGTGTATATTGCATGAAGCGAAGTCATTTTTGGATCAAGAGAAGGCGGCAGATGAGCAGGCGCCGTCGCTAATGGTTTTCTTTGGGTCTCATGAACAAAGTCCACCTCAGTGGAACAATGAGCCACTCGATCACTATGAAGCGCGAAAACAGATTGCTTCGGATTTGAGAATGGGCGATAATTCACGTGATCTTGTTGGGATGCTGCAGGACAGCAAGCGACTACATACTGTCATTGTGAATGAGTACGATGGCGAGGAGCATACGAGTGTTATGGCGTGTTCGATGAGTCGAGGTTTAACTGCGTTTTTTGAAGATTGGCCGTTGCCAAACTAAGGTTGTCTAGGCTTGACAATAGAAGGTCTAATGGTGTTCGGAAACTAGATCTAATAAATAGAACTTGTGTTTTAGTGATACAAGGTCAATAGGAGATGAATAGAAGAACTATCTAATGAGCGATGCATAATCTTCCTCCGGGCAAATGATGGTACATATTGAAAGTAGGTCCTCTCCTTAAACTCAGTCTACTACCTCAGCACTGCAAAACACATTTTACATAGTACAGAATTGACATGCGTAGGTAATCGTGGCAACAAGTCTCAGCCCCTAAGCTTAGAGCACGAACATAGTTGGTCCCTCAACTTTGTTTCTTATGAGCCACCTCCGCATCGCTTCCTGCGAAAACTGACCTGGAAGCCCATGAAGCAGGCCAAGCAAAGGACTCTTCAAGACCATCGTGACTCTCACTAGACACGAGGTGATCTACCACCGCAATAAAGATATATGCGCCAATTCCGGTAAATATATGCCACCTGGTCCATTCCCGGCATCAGTTTAGATGGCACGAAAGAGCAAAAGAAAGTGATATCAAAACAGGTAAAGACGTACCACCCGTGAAGCTCTAATAGAAAAGCTAAGGGAAGACCTATCTTCGCCCGCGTGCTTCTCAAAAACCCACATACCCATCCATCAATCAACCAGAGGTAGAATCCCAAATTGAAAATGACTTATTCCGGCCGTCAATACATACCAAGTGGAAAGTTTTGAGTGTAACTTACCTGCTCCAAATCTTACCATCCCCCAGATCTGCTTTCGAGCCGCTGAGCCTGCTAGTGTCCGAGCGTTGATTAGCTGCATGGTGCGGATCCCAATGACGGTCACCATGGCAGCAAAGGACAAGGAGTGCAAAAGAAGCTCATCCGTCCTGACGTGATAAACCACTAGGATCATAAGAGATGACCAGAGTAGGATAGCCAGCATAATCGAATGTCTGCGACTGGTATTGACGGTCAAGACCTGGTGAAGAACCGGGGTCGTCGTGAAAAGCATGGAGAGGTCGTCCACTGATGACCATGACATGGGGTTAGGGTAAGTTAACCTAAATCAAACAGACGACGTTGAATATGAGCGGGTCTTACACATTTGGGTGTGGTATTTGAGGCTAATATGAAACGCGGCAGAGCATATTCCAACGGCCATCAAACCCCAGTACGGGATGGCACGAAAGATATCGCAACTTGATTTTTGTCGCAGCTTGCGGAGTCCATAAATGGCGTAGAGTACTGTACTTCTTGTAAGACTCTCTGTTGGCCAAAGGATAAAGGTTTGCGTCGGCGCTTACTGTACACGATGTTGGTCAAACTGTTGATGAACTCGGCGATGTATCTTGTCACCACATAATCCTATTACGGTCCAACCGATGTGTATTAGTAGTATGTAGTATGAAACGAGACACTCATGATATTCTGCTAGCTACCGACCTCTTCACAAAAGCTTTCCAGGCGTTAGTTAGTAGCTAGCTACACAATAAACAGAATGGCATACTAACTTAGATTTAGCAGTTCGCGCCCCCCAGAATGCGCTAGGCGAGGTTTCAGCGAACATTTTTCTGGTATTGGCAGTGAAGAATAACGTGTATGCTCACAATAAGACCTACGGTGCTTTAAAAGTGGTCGTAAGCACAAAGAGTTTCATGGTGGCCTAGAAGACTAGGCATCATCGATACTGAAATAAGCACTAACGGCGATCCGGAATAAATAGACCTAATCTAGCAATATCAGACTCTATAGGTCAAGCATTCTATTGTAGCCTGTTCTACGGATCTTGGCATCTTACAGGTCGAGTAACAATGTACCAATTTCTTGCGTGTCCACTATCCATGCCATGTTGAAGGCAGACTTTGCACCGCTTCCAAGACATAGCACATTTCTTGTTATACAATAATGTCAAATATCTCATTTCTGTACAGTTCCTCCTTTTTACGGGATGGCGATTAATGCAGCTAGATCGTAGAGATCCGTCCTGGGGCTCTGAAAACATTGCTATAGGAGTAATTACTAACTCGGCTTGGTTGAAGGAAGCATGCCCAAAACTATTGGTATACATCTGTCTATAAACCTGACATCAATCTACATTTGCAGGTTGAAAACTAAAAACACCAAATGCTTCTGGAAACAAATTACTTTGCTTGCACATGTTCCACCAGCTCCTGCACCCCCAGTTTTGTAATCTGTAAGCTCTCGTAGCCTTTGTTTCCTTGGCGGACCAACTCCTAATCTAACTCCATACGTTTGCTCTGCCTAAACATCCAAAATTCCTACGAATCATGCCTAATTAAGGCTTTGCCATAGATATATTCAAACTTCGGCGGCTCCGTTGTAGAAGTGTACTATGATCCAATTGGCCCTCGAATAGAGAGCGATAGCCAAGACGCATGATATGGAGAAAACGAGAAAAGTAAAAAAGAAGAGAGAAAACGAAAGAAAAAAGGAAAGAAAAAGCAAAAGTGATTCGATTAATTAAATAGAAGAAAAGCAAGAGCGAGATATGCCTTCACCGTGACCCAACTGACTCCGGGATTGGGCGCGATTCAAAGCTAGTGATAACTTTTTACAAGCTTTGGTTCCGAAGCTCTTCTGCCCATATGGCTACTTCAATCGTGGGTTGGAGGCCCCCGAAATAAATGCCTAGGCGAAATGATTTCCGAAGAACATTCTTATAACCAAAGGCCGTACCCCAGTTCATTATGTGAATGACTCGGTTGTGATTTACGCTGAGGGTCCGAGCCTTCTAGGAAGCAGAGCATAACCCAGAGCAATCAACTTACATGCTTATAGTACGAATAGCCCGTGTTCTGATCATACCACTTTACACATATAATTAAATGAGGGAATGCTAGATTATATTCTCAGACCGTGCATATTGCGTACGCAAAAAAGGCTTATATCGCAGCTAGAGTTGTCACGCGCACTTCTCATTGGCCAATAGCTAGTCCTCTTTTACTCCAATGTATTTTGGTATAGTATTACATGCCTTATGCATAGCTACCTCATCCTTAACTGGAAGCCTGCTATCCGCAGCGACTAGGATAAGCTCGAGGCCGCCTTCTTGGATAACTTCCTGCTAGACCCGGTGGAAGAGGATGCGTGGGTATTGGAGAACGAAGAAGGTTGTGGAGCTGGCTCAAAGGCCTGATGAGTTAATCACCAAGTACCTCGACCGACGCAGTTTGTTGGAGGCTCATGCCGACGTACTTGGCCTTGTGAGCTTGGGGCTGAGCGCTGCTAACGGGCTGCGCAATCCAAAGACGAGGGATATAGTCCTTTGTGAGCTGAGCAAGGAAAAGGACATTTTGTTTCAAAGAACGGAGGAGCTGATTATAGCCGCTTATATTGCCAGAGGGGGTGTTGATGATCTGGTGGTGGAGAAACTGCGGACAAGGCCCACCAGCTTAGGGGCGAGCATCATCAAGATATGACCATTCTAGCCTGGGCGTTTAACTTGTCCTTGTTGTGTTCCAACTTACGCTTGCGAGCTCTTGACAATGAAATCTGTCTGGTTTAACACGTGGATACCGCGTCTTCACCTCGTCGATCATGGATAGAACTATGTAGTCATAGCGAATACCCTCGTAGAGCAGCGTCTTGAAGTTGTTGATGTCGTTTTAATCGACCATGCCGGTCGGTGATAGGAGCAAGGACCACGCAGCAGTGCTTCTCAGCCAGAGGGGCGAACTTGTTGAAGAGATTATGTAAAGAGCGGTAGCGGTGGGAAATGTATAGGTAGTAGGAAGACTGGGGTGGATGCCCCTGTGGGGGCTAGGAAAGACACCTATGAGGCCTGACCTATAGGCTGGAGACTATGTTCGGAAAGATATCGTTTTTATCTTCTTGTTTGGTGGGTTGCTTGCGGGGTCGCGGAGAAGGAAATAGGGCTGGCCAGATCACATGGGACCATCATCTTGCGCCCATTCTGTAACCCATGATCTCGTCCGAGTCAGTTCTAGGCTTTTTTGAGATTTGAACTGCTGTCTATAATGGGACTTTTGCTAATGTATCCACGTGTCGATCTCCGAATGAAAGAATCATGATGAAATAAGCCATATATATTTAGGACATCGTACGGGAAAGACAATTCAAGCATGTTATTTAGTTGTCAAGTCAACGTTATCGAAACATTTCGACGGTATATATTGTGTTTCCTGCTCGTCTTTACTTTTTTATCTGTCTGGGGAATCAAGCAGACTGATAACTACTGACAGGCACTCTCCACCTCCCGCCAGTTATAGCACATGAACATACATACAACTTGAACCTCAGCATTAATTTTTGCCATAGAACCTCGTGACCTGAGCGCATTAGGCGTAAGGTAAATCATACTAAGCCCATCCCAAACTTCACAGAATGTTGCCACAACTGAATGTACAATGACGCCGCCGGCCCAAACCGCAACCTTGTATTTTGGGGCTTAGAGATAGCCAGGCGGATTTCGTGACGACTACGCTGCAATACATACCGCCAAGCCAAGTCGTTGATGGGAGGAGGAAGGGCTTCGGAAATTTTGCCGAAATAAACCCAAGCCCCGTCAAAGACTGCCATGGGTGCACTAACGTGGCGCTAGGGCCTGGAAAAGGCCCTAGAAAGACGCCTCGGACCCGCTTACATACCTCCTCAAATTACCTTTTACCCAACAGTAGTTCTTTAGCAGATAGGATTGGCTTGATATTGCCTCCCTCTGCCCCTGGTGTCTTGCAATTTGATATAGACTGGAATACGGGTATTGTGGGGCCAAAAGAATGGCCAATGGCCATTCAGAGCTACTCTCCCTCAGAGCTCGATATATTAGTGGACCGTGTTGGAAACGAGGTCAAAGCCAGTCCTAGGGCGGTCTCGAGATACACTCAGCAGGCATATAATGAGAGTGGAGTCAGTGATGGCAAAATTGTGAACAGATACCCTTTCGGGAAGGACACCTTCGCTTGACGAAAATGCCGTAGTGCTGACATGTCCCATAATACATTTAATGAAAGTTATGCCGGCTTTTGAGGCATTACCCCTGCATTAGCGTGCACAGCAATCTATTCTTGTCGCTTCCTTTCCCCGTGGTCTTTGTAAATGCCGAGATAATCTGTATGCAAGGTTTTTAGCTATCATAAATCATGTGTTTACCACAATGATCCCTACTACTAGCTAAAGCCATCATGATCATTCAGCTCTTGCTTTGGCGATGGTGTCCCAAATTGATGGTACGAGTATAGGGGTCGGACCGAGGTTATGTACACAGTGATCAGACAGAAGTACTTGAACTTATAAGTGACACAGATGGTTCAGAAATCAGAGCTTTATTCAGTCATTTTATGGCTACTGCGGTACTGCTGCGTACAAAAAGATTTCTATCTTGACATCATGCCTAATATGGCAGGACCTGTGTTAGCTTCAAGGGCAGCACAATAGAAGGACATTTTCTAGTATAGTACAGAAATTTCTATCGTAGCCAGCAGCTCAAAGAACCAGATACATAGCCATATATTATCGAGACGAACATAAGTGAGACAACAAGGTACCGGGCTCTTGGCACGGCCACACAAGAGGCCACTGACGATATTGAATTGCAGATACGGAGATTTGACAGTTTTGGCCCCACAAGACTTGGGGGGGTTCAAGGATTCACTAATAACATTTCTGCAGGTTTTTCAAGAGGCATGGGGGCGAAAGGTCTTGCCAAGCCTCGGGCTGGCCCTTAGTCGAGTTGTTCTTTTACTCTTTCAGGCGGATATACCTCTTGGCTTAGTGGGTCTTGCTATATCAAGCATGGTGCGTAGCTAACTACGTCCCCGGTAGACCCTTATCCGTTCCCCACGCTATTGCATCAAGTATCCTCATGACTGGACAGCAACTGGGATAACGGAGTAAACTGATTCTTAATACTGTAAGTGGCAAGGTAGAGAGCTATTTGAAATCACTCATTCTAGGAAGAAGGGAAGACCTAGAAGCAAACGATAATGCATGGGGCGAGGAAAGACAGGAAAGATAGCCAATTTGCCAAGACAACACTATAGATCAAAAGCAACGGAGCTATGATCCACAGTTGGGCATAAGATATTGTGCATGTAATCTCTGTCCTGTCTTCACTAATCCATACACAGTAATAGCTGTCTGCATGGCGCTCGGTGATTGCCTATGTTTCTTGGAAACCATGCGCCTCGCTGCAATTCCTAATCCACACTCCTTGCTGATACGATGTTGGCAGAGAAACTAACCCAAAAGCAAGAGAGACGGATTCAGAATGAATTGAGGAATGGGCTTGCAGCATATGCCATATTAGGTATTTGACATTGGATCCACACTGAGCAGCGTAATATGCTGTCCGAAACTGTAATTGCGATGTCCAGAGCCTTAATACGGTATATACGCCTTACAGTCAAGTGTGCCTGGGCCGGATCCATAGCCGTTTAGTGTAGGTTGGGATCTAAATTAGTCCCAGGAACAGAAGTAACCGATACGAGCAGAAAACGATTAGGAGTGTGCTCCAAGTGAACAGTCACATGGCTGCTCAGGGTGGGAATATAAAGACCTGCGGTCATGCGCTCTTCCTGAATCTCACATCTCTAGGCCACAGAAAATGGGAAAACCAACAACCATGGGCTGGGCCATGAGGGTCTGCCTCATAGGGCTGACCTTACTGTCACTCGTTTGTTCGTCACTCTCTGTATATCTGGACGCGCTTTCTCCTTCCAAAACCGCGTCGCTGCAGGCTCGTGCGAGAAAGCCGTTTACCCTACGAATTATGCCCTTAGGTGCATCGATTACCACTGGATACAAATCATCTGACAAGAATGGATACCGCATTTCTCTTCGCCAGCAGCTGCGCTACGCTGGATGGGAGGTCAACATGGTGGGCAGTCTGTCCTCTGGTACCATGCACGACAACGTGAGTAATCCATCTTGCGACAGCACCAATCAAATGGCAATTTTCTAAACCTGTGACAGGAAAACGAAGGTCATAGTGGCTATCGAATTGAAGAGGTTGCAAGGATGGCCGAGAGGACCATTCCTCAACAGCCGAATCTCATACTCATCAAGTATGTCAACCCCTGCTGCCGTCTCGCGGTATATTCTGTTGCTGACCTTTGCTTCCAAGTGCTGGCACAAATGATGCCACTCAGCCGTTTCATCCCGATACGGCCGGTGAGCGGATGAACGCCATGCTCACACGACTATTCGATGCCATCCCTGGAACAACTATCATCCTGTCCACCCTCCTCCCTAACAAGGGGGCTCCGGAGAACGCTGCCTCGATCAGCGCGCAGATCCGCCAAATTGTGGCCGACCGTCGCGAACAGGGGCAGAGAATTGTCCTGGCGGAAATGAGTGACTTCATCACCGTAGACGAATTGCAGGATGGTACCCACCCAACAGATCACGGATACTTTAAGATGTCCTCTGTTTGGTGGGCCGCTATTCAGGTAGCTGAGAAGGAAGGCATGCTCCAGCCGCCCAAAGATATCGGTGTCGATGACAAGAGCTCAACAACTTGCGAGAAAAAATATGGTAGTGGCAATGACCGCGGCCGAGTCCAGACACAGCGTGGAAGTGGGTATGGTGACGGAGACTATGTCCATAGCAGTCAGCCCATGGGGTATTTGACGTCAGTTACTACCACGGGCGAAGGTGATGCTCATCCTGGTCTTAACTATGCCCAGCTGGTCAACAAGTGGGGTGCCCACCGTGAAGGTGCCCTGGATGAGCTTGTCTGGACCAGAGATGGTCTTGGCACTTGGATGTACATCAACAACAACAATGGGGAATTTGGCGCCGGCGTTAAGATTGATGTCAAAGACAACTGTCTTGCGCGAGGTGTGCGCTGGGGCGACGTGAATGGCGACGGATACGACGACTTCATCTGCATCAGTCGCGAAGGTGCCATGTATGTTTCGATCAACGAGGGCGGCAACCCTCCTACCTTCCGGTCTATCGGCCTCGTGAGAGCTGCTCCCGGCGGGGATCTGAACCAGGCCAACGTGCGACTGGGAGATATCGATGGCGACGGACGAATTGACTAGTATGTTCTGATTTCTATGTCCTGGTGACTCAGACGTTCATAAGACTAACATCAAATCAGCTGTCTAGCCAAGGGCAACGGTGACATTCAATGCTGGAGAAATGGCGGTCAAAAGGATGCACCGACTGCCGAGTATCAGGGATACTGGCAAGATCTTGGGACCGTGTTCACTGGTAAAGGAATGGGTGACCTCAGGGGCGTTCGCTTTGTCGATATCAATGGCGACTTCCGCAGTGACTGGCTGTGGGTCAGCGACACAGGAGAGGTCACTACCTATATCAACAACCGGGGCACTGGTAAGAGTCTGAAGCCCGAGTGGCGAGCTGCTGGCGTCACCCATCCAGGAATGGGCAAGGAGGGTACCAGAGACCGTGTCAAGTTTGGAAGAGTCTACGCCCACGGTGGTGCCGACTATGTTGTCATCGAAACAAAGAAGGACGGAAAGAACTACAAGCACAATACGCACGCCTTCAAGAATACCGGGCATGGCGGTACTCAGCTGAAGGGTTTGTCATGTCCTCTCATCTCCAGTAAACATGTGGCTAATCTTCAGCAGCGGACGGAGACCACTACTGTGACATGCGAGGAACTGGTGCAGACGACTATGTCTGGATTTCTCCCGAGGGCCGCGGATTCCTTTACGGAAATATTCACGATCCACCTGTCTGGATCCCAGAAGGTATCGAAATCTTCAACGTTAATAAGGATCGGAAGGGCCTACATCTGGCTGATTTTGACGGTGATGGGAAGGTAATAGCCTTTCTGCCTTCCGTGCTTAAGCTTATCTGACCCAATATCCCTAGTGTGATCTTTGGTCTGTCAATCGGGACACTGGAGAGGCTGAAGTCTGGTTGAACAAGTGGAGTGAGAGTGTACAGAATGCCTTCTTCACATACCAGGGCAAAGTCACCGGCAGCGCAAAATGCAATGAGGGCTGGGGTGTTGGCCTTTATGACCTTGGGCTGCGCTTTGCTGATATCGAGTGAGTTTGGTTGCGATAGATGTGCTTTTCATGGCGCTGACAGCACGCAGTGGCGATGGACGTGCCGATTATCTTTGCATGGAGTAGGTTTCTTCTGTCTCTTACAAGATATATGGGCTAACATTGTATAGGCCGAATGGTCGTACAGATGGTTGGCTCAATAAGGGAGTCGGCGAATTCGAGAGTGTCAACCAAGTCAAACACAGCGAGGGCTATGACCGTGCAAGTCAGTGCTATCCTCTAAGGCTCCAAATGTACAGGCATTGCTGACATATCCCTAGATCATCGGTGGGCAGATGTGAATGGTAAGTCTATGAAAATGAGGTCTAAGTGCCAAAGCGATGCTGAACTTTTATGTCCAGGTGACGGGAGAGCCGACTTCCTATGGGTTGACAAGTTCAATGGCGACACCACTGTAATTCCACCAGCGATTATCATCAGCTCATCAGCTAACAGGGAATAGGTCTGGGTTAACAATGGCAAAATACCTACCTCTGGTTCGAGCTTCAACTGGAAAAAGCTCGAGGGCCCGCGATACCAGGGCTCTGACCGCGGCGTACGTACACCCGGACATGATAGAAGGAATGGGTCGCTGACCGCCATAGGCAAATTTGCATTTCCCCAACCTCGGTGGGCTGGGTAGAGCTGATATGCACCAAGTCATTCCCCGGACCAACGTTGTAAGTTGAACAGACGTTCCATATCATTCGTACTAACGCGGTGACAGGCGTACACATGGTTCAATGAATGTCCTGGGGGAGGTGCATTGGATGACAGCACTCTGGACCCTAAGCTGGTTCCGTATGATCCTCCGAAGCAGCCTACACCAAGTGGAAACCCGAGCATTCCGACACAAACACCTGATATACCTAGCAACGGGCTTCCAGAAGACTACTAGTATGTTCCATCGAAGCCCATCACTCTTTTTGCCCGAACTGACAATGTCCAGCAAAAACTGGCCTCTTCATGACGATGATGTTGCCGATGATATCTGCGGCAATTTGGGCTACCTGGAGAAATCTCACTGGCAACAGTATGATATTGGTAACTGGCTGGTAATTACGTAAGTTTTACGTGCGAATTCTGAATACTGAAAACTAAGTCGCAATGTTAGGTCTGCCTGGTATCAAAAACTAACTCTCGACAATGGAAATGACTTCGAATGGGATCGAAGCGTGCCTGTAACATTTGCACGTTATAATGGCACAGATCGGGAGAGCGATGCTTACATCTGGGACTGCAATAATGTTGACAATACCTGCAGCGCTGATAACCTTGGCGATTATGACAAGTGCAAAGACACTCGCTTCTACCGTGCAGCCGTCCTATATGCTGCGCAGAATCTGGCAAGATACCTTGAAATAGTCAAGAGCAGAATGAACACTGCTTGGGAAAAAATGGACTGGAAGAGCGCCAAAATGATCGATACATATTCTAAAGCCGGTCAGAACGACAACATATTCCCGGACACTAGTGCTCTTACGGTAGCTGCGGCAATTGCAGGAGGTCTCGCCGTTTTTATGATGCCTCAGTTCTGGGGAGTAGCCGGTGGAGCTCTGGGAGTTTCATCTCAGGTCGTAGGGTTCCTCCAGATGTCTAACGCAGAGACAAAATTCAACACCTATGCCGAGATGACCGACAAAGCCGCGGATATCTATGGAGCCTCGGAGGGTGCAGTTGATACGCTGTTCAACAATCTCTTCACCAAGGTACCTCCTAGAGATGCAAACTGGATCAATGCCCCGAACACGCTCTCTCTTCCGCGATTTTTGCAGACTGGGGACTTCGTCGACTCCAGGTCCGTCGAATCAGATAACCCCTTGGTGCCTTCGGCGGATAGTCTGGTTCCTCTGATTGCAGCTCCAATGGTCAAACTCCTCTGGGAAGAGCAAAAAGTCTGGGTTCTAAAGCTCGGCAACGACTTCTTCAAATCCCCGAAAAAGGGCGGTTATCACCCCTGCGACGGTGCTGGTGAAATGGAGGAAGTCTATGATAAGTATAGCAATTGGACGCAAAACAAGTTTTGTAATCCTGATGGAACAGCCTTCTTTGTTGTATGTTCCCCATCCTCCCAACCCGACTTCTTAAGCGAATGTCTAAATTCTCACTGTGGAATAGTTTTCCGGCACAACTACGACTCCCTATGGTCTCGACAAGCTGGAGGAAGAATTTGGCTTCACCGGACACGACATCGCCAAGTCCTCCGAGCTTATTCAGAACCACTACGGCAAGTATCGTCCGGAAATCAGCTCCGACGATTACTTCTCCTGGGTGCCGCCCACCAGTAGCGGCGGCGATGTTGCTTTGTGGGAGTTGATGCGGTGGAACTTCCCAGTTTGTGACACAACAAAGCTCGAACCGAGGGATGTGTGGCAATGTGATACTGTTTATCAAGACTTTACCAATGTAGGTTTCAATGACTGTACGGCTTATGAACTTCGCTGATCTTCTTTAGTGTTTCACCTGGTATCTGGTCCATCGGTGCCTTGGTATCGAGGATTGGCCCAACGACTATAGCGAGTGGGACGAGAGTGTATTCGGGTGAGCGGAATCCTATGGGCTGGCTATATTCTCGACTTGAATTTTGCTTCGCTAGGAGAGTGGAAGGATGATGATATAATATCCTACTGTATTAATGCTTGTCTCTCCTATCTAACAGAATGGGATATTAGGCTGCTACAACACTCTTGTTAGGGTCCATATATGTATCGTAACAAAATAGAAAGCTTCAGAGAATCGGATTTTCCACAAGGTTTAGTAACAAAAGGATATTTTCAAGCTTTTAGTCTGTATGTATGATGTTGGGGTCCTGAAGAAAGACTACACGGGTATATTTTTATTAGCCAATACTTAAAATTCTAAGTCAGCTACTAGGAATTTTAAGTATTTTATCCAGCAATTATGGATACTCCGTATATCAATGCCTAGAGAGCAATTCCTCGCTTACGGATCTAGCCGGCAAATTGTGGGGCAGCTGGAAATAACATGCATGAGATTTTCAGCTGGAATGCCTCCCACAAGTGATCGGCAGTCCAACCGTGTTGGCGGAAATTAGGAGAATCGTTCGCCGTCTAGATGCCTTCATCGGAGGCACATAAACGCCGATCTTGTTAGGAAGGGGAAAGAAGGCATACAGCTCGCATGTTAGGTCTACTAGCCCTTGAAAGCTGTGACTTTACGTGTATCCCCTCCTTGTAGAGTTCACACTAATAGTAAGTTAAGTGAGTTAGCATTCACTAGTTAACACATACCAACTGCGTCAGATTAGCATCAATGCGCTCAACTGAAGCTCTAGAGTTGTTAGGTTAAGATATCCTCGCCCTTCGGTAAAAGATTTCGGTGGATATGAGTCCCCCTCGAATCAGTAAAGGCGCCTTGATTTGTCCTGCGCAGGGTGTGCTAGTTTAGCATGATCAGCTTGAGCCAAAACTATTCAAGTTTCCCCATAACTGGCACAAGGCATCTACTGATTAAACTCGATCGGTTCCCCAGAAAATGTCAGCAAGACAAAGGTATTCACGAAGCGACACGTACAAGAACTACAGAAGCTTAATTATGTTTATACAGAAGACAACTCATCCGATCATCGCTAGCCGTAAATAGAGTCCCGAAAGTGAGGTTGCCATGTGGGGCAGCCAATAGATAGCTCCTCAACCAGTCCTTCGGATAATTAAGTTCTCAATGAAGGGAAGCTTTTTCAGCTCTTAGTAGCGGTGAAGAAAAGTTGCTATTCCAACAAACACCATTGGACTATCGATCGACTACGGAGAGCATGTTCCAGCTGAAAACTTCGTGCAGCGTCGTCCGTGTTCCAATGCGTGTCTGCCACGGAAGGAAAGATCTGCAGTCTACGTATATCTAGATCAACCCATTATCCATAGAGCAGTGCGAATGGGAGACTACTTAAGAGCCTGCAGGTAGTCACAGGAAGGACGCAGCTCCATAATTTCCCTCTAAATTTCGTCCTCGATCTACTGTTCAACAACCGCCGCGAACAATGAATATCGCCACCACTTGCAACTCCTGGTCCCTGGAGAATCACAGGCTCGAAGAAGAAAGGCGATGGGTCACTGATCTCCACTTCAAGGCGAAGAAAGACAATGGGGAATGGATCTCTACTCAAATCCGACTCGATGACTTTCTGGGAAACGATGATGGTAGGCCCGTCTATCCTCTTATCCTTAAGTAATAGTCATGATAACAACTTCACTAGGGAACTTCAAGTATGGCTTGAGGTATCCCGAACGTAACATTAGCTCGTCCATGAGTAATCCCCGGCTGGAGGTAACAGGAGATGGTCGACCGATTCTCCACGGTCGCCTCACCACCCGGGATGCCTATGGTCATGACAGAAGTCTTGATTTGTCTAAAATTCTCTGGAATAGAGATGGTCGAATCTCTCTCAATGGTGGGTATTTGATCCAATTTGACCACCTAAGTTGGCCAGGATGGCTGCTGATAAGACAAGCAGAGGACGTGGCTCGCGCGGAAGACGAAAAAAGAAGAGAACAGATAAGGCAGAAAATGGTTAGCTAGGCTTTTTCTATCAATGGCCAAGCGTCAGTTCTAGTGTCACTAACTGTTCTCACAGCTCGAAAAAGCGCGTCGCAACCCCAAAATGATGGAGCGCTTGAGGCGCCAGGGAAAACTTTGAGAATCGACGGGAAGGCACAAGGTCAGCTCAATCAACAAAAGGGGGAAGTGGTATTTGCTATTGATCCAGGTCAGCATATCCTATTCATGACGGTGTTATGGATATGATTTTTGTTACAAGACATTTCCTAGTCAATTCTATTAGCGACATTGACTTACCGGGTTTATAATATAATTTCCAATGCTATTATTTCCATTTCCCCGTCTCACTCCCTTTCTTTATCATAGAAAGTTGTAGATTCTGAATTGCTCCTCAAGGTAATAGTAAATGTACCACTGGCAGGTGATTCCGCAAAGCGATTAGGGTACAGGCCCGAGGGGCTCCACAAATGTAGCTATCATGAAGACGTTCAAGCTGAAGGTCAACGAGCCATGCCTATCGAGTGTACATAATTAGAACACTAGGCAGTATAAAGAAGTCACTGATAGTTATGATAGTCAATATCAAGTAACACATTTTTGCGACCGCCAAGAACTCCACTATGTTCTAGAATAAGTCTCCTGGTATATGTCCTCCCTTCTCTTCCTCCATAACCTCAAATCCCTTAACTTCGCATGAACCATTCTCAAAGTAGACCCCGATTCATTCTAATTAATCCAGGGGATCTTGGCAAGAAATCTTGGCAGCTCGTGATAATGTTCCGCAATATAATTGGCTGGCTAGGTCCGTTTTAACTTTGCCGTGAGAACGAGCCAAACTTATATCTAATGTCGTGAATTGCATTTTTGCCTTCAATCTGGGGTTAGAGGAGATTAGCCGCCCTTGAAGATTCTGGTAACCTCCAAGAAATGCTTCTCTCGGCCTCATTTTCGCGACATATCTCTTCTCTTCGATCTTTGAATCGGAAGTGGCAGAGACTCGTAGCGAGAAAAAGCGAAAACAATGACGGGCTTTCGAGTCGCATGCTTGATGTATTTCTAAGGACCTGGGACTTAGGCTTCACCAGTTTTGGTGGACCTCCCGTGCATTTTCGTATTTTGCATGAGAGATTTGTGCAAGGAAAGGGAGGGAAAGAAAAATGGGTAGATGAGCAGACTGTACGTTCTCGTCCTGTCCCGTCTCAATTCTGTCTTGCGCGTCCCTTCAACAAAGAATACTGTCTGACTGATAACCACGGCAGTACCAGGAGCTCTTTGCGATATGCCAGGGTCTTCCTGGCCCGGGAAGCACAAAGATGATCTTCTGCCTTACCTTGTTACATGCTGGGTTTATTCCAGCACTGTTAGTCTTCTTCGTTTGGAGGTAAGGGGTCAATGTCTCTTCCTACTAGGCTCTATCATAGAATTTACAATCATATAGTCTACCGGGAGCGGTTGGCATGTATGCTCTCTCCCTTGGTGTTCAGAAAATTGGTGACACCCTTCCTTTACCAGTGTATGCGCTTCTCTCTGGTTTAAACTCCTCGACTGTTGGCATCATTGCACTTGCAGCTGTGCAGTTAGCCGAGAAGGCTATCCGCGATAAGCTCACTCGCATCTTGGTGATATTCGGTGCATGTGCTGGCTTATGTTATAATTCTCTTTGGTATTTCCCACTTTTAATGGTTGTTGGAGGCCTGGCAAGCATTATCTGGGATGGATGGATGAGCCAGCGAATCCGGAAGATTAAGCTTGCATGGAAGAGAAGACACACGGTCCATCCTACCACTGAAACAGAATTAGCAACTATGGAGAGTGTTCCGATGGAAGAGGGTGGACGAATTCCTGGCTCCAATAATCAAACCGGCGATACGCCTGAATCGCAAAACAATCCAGTCCGACCGCGAAACGTTGGTCCTAGAGGCGAATCGGTACCACCAAGCTCGGCAGATACTCCTCCTGATCAGGATGCAGAAGAGCATCCTTCATCGACTCATAGTATTCGTATTCGAGTGGGAATCCTCATTGCAGTGTGTTTCTTCGGTGAGTTTCCTTTACGCAATTGCCTCCGGAAGATTGAAACTAACCCGACTCTAGCGTCTTTCATTGGCCTTCTTGTTGGTAGAAGCCTCTCCCAGCATCCACCATTGGCTCTTGACCTTTTCACTAACATGTATCTGGCTGGTACTATCATCTTCGGCGGCGGGCCAGTTGTTATTCCCCTCCTAAGGTCCTATGTTGTTGGACCTGGCTGGGTTTCTGGTCGAGACTTTCTTCTCGGACTAGCAATCATCCAAGCCTTCCCAGGTCCCAACTTTAACTTTGCTGTTTATCTCGGGGCCTTAGCATTACAAAAATCACAGTTCCCCACCATCTTTGGTGCCTTTCTGGGAGGACTCGGAATCTTCTTTCCTGGGATTGCATTGGCCGTTGCTGTCCAGAGCTTTTGGGGGACTCTCCGGAAGCGAAAATGGGTTGTCGATTTTCTTAGGGGTGTGAATGCAGCAGCGGTCGGCTTAGTATTCACTGCTGTTTACAGGCTCTGGGAGATTGGGTATCTTACTCCTGAGACTACTGACGGGCAGAGTCTAGCAAAGGAGCCATGGTGGGTTGTGGTTGCTGCTGTCACTTACGCAGAAAGTGCATGGTTTAACGTTCCCTCTGCTGCTGCGATCATTATTGGGGCTATATTGGGGCTTTGCTGGTATGGGGCGGTGGGTTATTAGGCGCTGTGACAGGGTGTAATGACTTGTATAGTTGCCCATTTTAATTAATGGAGGTAGCAACATGGCCCTTCTGCTGACACTGCTTTAGTAGTATTGTTCTCTATCGGATATTTCCATGGCTTTCGAGCTGGTCGGGAGGACTGTTGTGACTCTAGGTGCTTTATACTGGTTGATCGGCGTTCTACAGCTCTTATATGCTACTGTCTGCTTCGAAGCTCGATTGTTTATATTGACTCGTCCCGTATATATTGTTTCCATGATTGTGGGAACTCCTAAAACACAGTGAAAATAAAGGCAAAGAATGCTATCTGAGTCGGGCTGCTACGACTGCTAATATTAGCGGTCATGCTAGCATCGTAGATCAGGCCTGTCAACTTTTATAAGTTCACACATACTGTCAAGATCCATGGACAATAGCATTAGTAATAATACGAGGCGATGATTCATACAGTTCCGTAGTAACCGTGGAAGGCCAACAAGCAAAATGCTTAGGGCACCGTTCTCCAATCAGAGAAGTTCATTCATATGCCCTAATGCGTGGCGCCTGCTAGTATATCAGCACTAGAGCTACACTGCATTCAGCTATAAATTCTCCCTGCTTTCCACTGACTTTCCCTTATTCTCAGCCTTTTTCCCTCTGTCAGCGAGCCATCTTCTTCCGACCAGTACTCAATGATGAGACATTTGTTAACAGCCAGCCTGGCTCTGGTCGCTACCGTGGGAGCCAAACCTTCTGAGCCTGTCGTTGACTTGGGATATTCGTCCTATCAAGGATATTATAACACAACAACTGGGCTTAATATCTGGAAAGGGTGCGCAGCGATCACCTTTGTTTGCCATACTACTATGCCCCATCTCGGCCTTCACTAAACGTTTGTTGGTTTTGTGAACAGAATTCGCTATGCAGCCCCTCCGATCGATGAGTTGCGATGGCAACCCCCTGTAGCTCCTCCTCGGAATGCCAGTCATATTCTCCCAGCTGTTGACCAGCCACCTGTCTGCCCGCAATCCGGTGCTGCTAGGACCCCAACCGTCTATGGCTTTAACTCGGTTCCAGGTGATGAGGATTGTTTGTACCTGAACGTCTATGCACCCCCAGGAGCATCGGATTTGCCGGTCTTCGTCTGGATCCGTAAGATCCCATTATGTCCTTCTTAATAAGTGTAGATGTAATAATCGGTGCATATTACTAATTATCGCATAGATGGAGGTGGATATGGCCTCTTTGGAGCTGTCTATGACCCTAGTCCGCTAATGAACACCAACGGCAACGGCTTTATCACGGTAGAGATCCAGTACCGTCTTGGGGCGTTTGGCTTTCTGTCATCCGCCGAGGTTCACGAAAGAGGCACAACCAATGCTGGCCTTCTGGACCAGCGGTTCGCACTGCAATGGGTTCAGCAACACATCACGAAATTTGGTGGCGACCCCAGGCGCGTCACTATCGGTGGCGAGTCAGCTGGTGCCGGGTCAGCCATGCTGCACTCCCTGGCGTATGGAGGGAAAGAGTCGAATTTATTCCAAAACGTAATTGCCAGGTTTTATTTCATTCGCTCTTATCATCCTCCGAATCCTTCGCTCACACAGACTATGCGCAGATCATTGCGGCTAGTCCGTACTCAGTACCCATCTACCCATATGATGACCCCATACCCACCGGCTATTACGAAGAGTTTGTCGAGAAGACAGGCTGTGGCCCATCTTCAACCGCAAAAGCCCGGTACAACAGCAGCTTCGATTGTTTAGTTGCAGCACCGAGCGAGACGCTCCAAAATGCCAGCGGTCTGGTTTCCGAATCAGGCTTATTCGGCACGTTCGCGTTTCAGCCAGTTATTGACAATGATCTCATTCGCGAGCGGCCGTCGGCGCAGTTACTCTCAGGCAAAATTAGTGGTCAGCGAGTCCTTGTCGGAGTAAGCTCGTCTCTCTCCTGGCCTTTAATCCTATGATACGCTAAACAGGCTGTAGAACAATGCTAACGACGGTGTCCCCTTGAGTAATCCTAATGTGGTGACCGGCGCCGCATTCAACGATTATCTCTCGGCGACATTCCCAAACTTCACCGAGACCGATCTCGCCTGGCTAAAATTGGTTTATGATACGGCCGATTCTCAGCCAACCGACGACAGCCCCCGATTCGACACCCTGGGCACTTCAGGTCCAACGGCAAAGAACCAATCTGAGGTGGCGACGGGACTACAGCAAACCGTGTTCAACATCTTTGCCGAGACCACATTTGACTGTCCTGCACAGTGGCTCGCCGAGGCGTTTGGGGGACCTCTCCACCAGGCCTGGAAGTACCAGTACTCAGTCACACCAGCCTACCACGGAGCGGACTTGAGCGCCTATTTTTCCACCGAAGCGTCTTGGCCTAGCAAGGGGTTCAACCACGCGTTCCAGAAGATCTGGGGCAGTTTTATCATCAATGATTCGCCTATTATTCCCCTCGAAGATGCTACTGCTAACCAGAGCCACGCCGTTGTTCCTGAAAATCCACACGGTCGTCTTGACTGGCCGCAGTTCCAACCCTCGGCCCCTTGGCAGATGGACTTAAATACCACCGGCGGCACCGTCTCCCCGGTTGTCGTCACGCCAAACTACACCTATTATATCCGGCAGGGGGACGATATTGTAAATCATTTCCGTCTAGCGAACGCCTATACCTGGGAAGGAGGACGGGGTCTGAGATGTTTATTCTGGCGCGCCGTTGCCGATCGGATTCCGCTGTAACCCCGGAGGCTCAGTACACAGTAAATCCCGCCCGAGGGAAGATCCAGTGGAGCTAAAACCAGCCCGGTATAGATCTACTCTCTAGACCCTTAGAATTAATAATCCATTCCAGAACGATGTTACGTACCTCCAATTCAGGGGGCAAAGCTTAACACCTCTACATAGGTTGTGTCCTACGTAACCGGTGCCACACAACGAAGATAGTAATGATTCGCGGCTCTGTATGTATATTCCGCGGATTCACATATCGTTTGGATCCATAGATATATTTATCAACTATCATGGACCCCGGGGCGGTGAGTTTCACGTTCTATTTACGTGGTTCCGTGGAGAAAAGGGAAGTTGGGTGCCGATCTATTGCAGCTGGCGACTATAGTGGGGAATTTGGGAATAATGTTATGGAGAATGTAGATCCGGGAGATGTAACCGTTCTCCTGTGACAGTATAACCCTATAGAATTTGTGACTTATTATATTCGAGATCGGAATGCTATAATAAGAGGCCATGTCTCAGATTCGCTCCTTAATGGAGGTCGTATACCCGGGGGTCTAGAACCCAGTGTTGTATGGATTAGTGAAAGCTGAAGCGAAAGTTGGAGCTGGAGCTAGAGAAACGATTTGTTCTTGCGGGTGGTATCTAGCGAGATTTCACTAGTTCTCGTATTTGGGGTCTTTGTGAGGACGTAGTATAGTGCGATGATGCAAGCGTAGAATGTACACTGCAGTAGACTAAGTTTCTCAGCTGAGGATCCATATTATGATATCCCCGTTTGGAAAGAAAATTCAGCGTTGCAGGTGGCCTCCTCTGAAGACTGCGGAATTAAACCTTCTATCGGAAAGCGATGGCCTGATTACTCACCTCGGCACAATATCGATAGGCGAAGTTTTCTAATGCTTCCCTTTGCCATTTTTTTTCTTTTCTTCCCCCTTCTTTTCTTTCCCTTTGGCTTTTTAGCCTAGTTAACGGGGTTAGCTGGTCGTTTTCGCACAGTCAAGATAACTTTCATGTTCCCAAATTTGGGCAAGCTGGGCATATCCCCTTTTTGGTTTTTTATGAGTCAAGAACCATTCTCTTTGAAGTGGAGGGCCCTCGAATACGGGTGTAGCATGTCTAGTGTGGTCGCTTAAAACCTCCCCTAGCAAGATCGCTTAAAGGTTGGCCAGTCGGAATGGAGATAATTTGCCTAGAATGGCCAGTGGGTATGTTCGGGGTTCAGGGACGAGGTTCTCCGTTCGAAAACATGCCCTAATTGACCTACCTAGGCACCGAGTATATTTCTCCTGCATGTGATTCGATAAAATCCTGTCACGGTCCATGGGACTTTAGCCCATAATTGCCTTATTATAGTCTAGCTATAAAATTGATATCTAAGATGGTATCCACTAACTAGTACCCTATCCTAGGCAGTACTGTTCCTTTTTGTTTTGTTCGCTCTCATTCAGCTTACTTGATTCGGTAGAAAGTTTCTGTCTCTTTCATATTATTAATTAAGACATTCTGAGTCCCAACAGTGCACTAAGAAGATAAGAACCCGGTGTCTGTGGGCACTCGGGATTTGCCCTCCGGGACGGGAGACATTGGTAAAGTTGACACCCGTTGGATGTCAATGGGTATGGGGAAAAGCCTCCACCTTCCGCGGTTTCCCCGATAGGCCTTATCTATTGTTCACATATGCCTCCGTTTTAATTGCCTTCAGAGACAATGGACAGCTCGCAGAATGAAGTCTGATATATGCATTAGTCCCCACAGGGCTATCAAAGGAAGCATATCAAATCCTAAAGTGGCTTACTAAAGTTAAAATAAACTCTTGAGGTTATTGCCCTACTCAGTGTGTCATCTCTTTGTTTTTGACACAACCTAGGCACTTAGTTTATGTCGCTTAAGGTCCGCAGTAAGTTATGGCAATCCCTGTCTTATTCAGCATAACGGTCCCGGTTCTTATGCGTTCTTATGCAGGGACCACGCGCATTTTGTAGGACAACAAAGGGCCCTGGTCGCCCAGTGCATCATACGAGGCCGGAGCTGTTCCAGCAGCATGGTGACGCTGCATTAGTGCTGAAGGATCAGGCTCGTCAGATTCTGTCGGGATGGCCAATCGAGGATGCTATGTTCTGTGTGTGAATACGGGTTGAGCTGTCATTGTTTCATTAATTATTCGCTCAGTTGGCCCATTTCTATCGCAGCCTGTCACTACAATTGACTTTTGGGATGTGTTTCAGAGCGATGTTTCCGGTTGCCCCGATTAGACTTGTATGTTAACCGCTTAGGTAGGTGCAAGTAAAGTTCTGGCATTATGTCAAAGAAAATTCGTATAACGGACATGTCTTAAGCGGCTTTGCCCTGCGCGAATTGACCAATCTATTGTTTAACGTTTGCTATCTGTCACTTTTTAATTAGCCAGTGTGTCTGTTGAGACCAAATAGGCAAGAAAAAAATAAGTTAGTTTCTTGGGGTGCTATAGTAGATCCCATTAAACATAAAACCCATGTTAGTGCAGGCACGCTAAATTGTACCATAACAACCTTGGCCACGCGAGAAAACCGCCGATTGCTCAAGAATTGCAGAATGTGATCACCCAAGTAGTGCCCTAACCAGGGTTCGGCGTGGGCCCTTTGATGTCATCTCAAAAGAAGGCCGGAGAAGTTGACTTGTTCTGGAAAGGGGAGAGAAGGTCTGGTTTGTTCGGGAGGCGACGTGTGTGGCGGCACGCTTTGATCTCTGGGTAGTGATTAAGTTTTTGATATGTCTTCTACCACGTTGGCGAAATGGCTTTCTCGGAGAAATTAAAATGGATGTGTACATTCTCATTTCGGCGATTCACCGATCGGCCGAAGATAAGGTTGAACATGTTTTGGTATCCTTCGGTACCGTGGAATGGAATTGAATTCTGGAGAGCAGGCGAGGGTCCAAACGGTTCAGGGTGGAAAAAAAAAACAGTCACGGATCGCCACCTGTCAGCTGAGTCAGCGTTTTTGTTTGTTTGTTCTTTTTGGTCGTTGCATTTGCACACGTAATTTAACCGGTCGAGCCCTAACGACCGAGGTTACATATATGGATATGGAGCTCGATGGTCGCATTTGTTTACCATTGTAGGCCATACGAAATTGCTGCTAGAGTTCAATAATCTCATGGCGAAATTAACATGGACCACCCCTACTCCATACTCCATACTGTTCTCCGTATTCCGCCCGACGCTCTGAGCACTAGCCGTCTGATCTTTTTCCTCTCCTGAGTGCCGAACGGCGCTCAACGGCCACTATGACGGAGGGATCCAGAGTTCGTTTCCAGACTAAGACTTGGTCTAAACTGACAGCTTTTAATTCCGACCTATCAGCTTGCTAACCTTCCGGACTTCGGGTGAGAGTGGAGCCACCGATCTCGCTATGTATGCACGGTTTCTGATTTATCGATGCAGCAGGAGTATTAGAGTGGGTGCATGAAGAAAATTTTACCAGGTTTTTTTCCAGTCTTTCTGGGCCATGCGTCAATGGTTCCCGAACACTCTCCTTTCCGGCCGAATATTGCCCTTTTTTTTTTTTTTTCTTTTTCTTTTTCTTTTTTCTCTCCTGATGGTTGAGAGTGAAATATTAATAAATGGGTCTCCCATTAGTATGGACGATCCCCCTGGCTCCTTTCAGGAAGTTGATCCGATAACACTGGGTCTGGATTTTTGCGGATACCTCCGTCTGCTAGATACCAAGCTGCCTTTTCCCTTTCATGGTCAATTTATAGGTCTTGCACCCCTCCGTCGATGCACCCGAGGTCCTCCGAATAATCCCTTAGGTTTTCATCACTTTGACTGGTGATAATCTCCCAATCAAGAAGCCATGGATCTACAGTGCGAATTCCCTCCGCAACAACAAGAGGGCAAAGAATGGTTTAATTTCCCTACCGAGATTGAACGCTCCCTCACCTCCGTCTTTGCTCCTCGGAACATCCTCATCGTCGGCGCTGGCATCGCCGGCATCTCCAGTGCCCTCGCCCTCTCCAAAGAACTGACCCCCTTCGTCCCCGACCTCCAGATCACCCTCTTCGAACGCCATGACATCCTCTCCACCTCCGGCGGCGCCATCAACCTCACCCCCGTCGCCCAACGACACCTCGACCGCCTCGGCGTCCTCGACGAGCTCGACAAAATGGGCACCGAAGGTGGCACCGACGTCGAAGCCATCGAGCTCTTCTCCAGCCGTTCCGGCCGCCCCCTAGGCAGCATCGATTTCACAGACCAGAAGGGGAACGGGTTCGGTGGATACAAGGGCCGCCGGGTAATGCGGATCGTCCTCTCCGTTGCCATGCTGGCCGTGGTGGAGCGGACGAAGAATATCAACGTGGTATTCGGGAAGAAGCTGGTCCGCGGCGAAGAAAACGAAGACGAAGCCACTCTGCATTTCCAAGACGGCACCACCGCAACCGGGGACCTGGTCCTGGGTTGCGACGGCGTGCACTCGGCTACCCGCACCCACTGGGTGTCCCCGGAACATCCGTCCGAGTATACCGGGATCTCCTTCCTGCAGACCGTCATCGATGCCAAGAGTATCAAGTCTCCGATTCATTTTCGCTCTACCTCTATGAACATCTCCCGCCATGGCTCGTTACTAGCGAGCTATTGTGATCGAGAACACGATCAGATCTTCCTGGCGGCTATCGTGCAGTTCAATGAGGCCAATCTGCCCTACTGTAAGATCGAGAACGGACAGGACTGGGTCACACAGCATCGGATCAAGAATGCCTTGCATGAGGAGATGCAGACCCGCTTCGGGAAATCCGGTGTCCCTTGCATCCGCGAGATGACGAAAAAAGCGGGTGATTGGATGCTTTACCCCGTGTACCAGGTTCGGCCGAATGCCCGTTGGCATACGGATCGGGCTTTGCTGCTCGGTGATGCTGCACATGCTGTAGGTTTACTCTCCCTGTCTCTCTATATATACATATCCTCCATTTATTATGATCACAAAACTAACAAAACCCTAAATAGATGCCTCCCCGCGACGAATCCGCCGCCTACGCCCTCGACGACGCCATCCTCTTCTCCCGCATCCTCGCCAAACACCGCCACGAACCCCTCCCCGTCGCCTTCAAAGCATACGAAGACCTCCGTCGCCACACCGTCAACACAGCCTTCAAGGCCTCCCGTCGCATGTGGGAGAAGAACCGCGACATGGGTTACCTCGAGGGCCGTCTGAAAGAATTGACCTTCCCGCTCTACATCCGTAATCATAGACAGGAAAGAGAAGCGGCATGGGAATTTGATGCAACGCAGATCACAATTCCCATGCCCGTTGAAGGGGGGTCATTGTATTCTCATGGGAAATCGGATACTTCATAGAACAGGGTGGAGTAGTCTTCTTGCCTTTTTGCACGCTTGGGTTGAATCGGATGGTTGGTTTGCTTAGATTGGTTGGCTGGTTTGGTTGGTCAGGATGGACGGGTTGGATGGACGGATGGGCCGGTTCGGTTGCATTAAAATGGAGTATTGGGTATAACGGGATTTTTTTGCATAGCATTTTTCTTTTTGATGAGATATGATAGCGCTATTATTGCTGCTGTTGTTGCATTGAATTGGGCTTTTTTTTTGTCAAATAGAATGGGGGTGTTTCTTGTTTTGTGGTTGTTTTGGTTGGGTTATAAAGTTGGGTTGGTCTGGTCTAATGCGGTCTTGTCTTTTTAATACTACTTTTCAAGAGGAGAAATACTATCTATCTACATACTAGGTTGTTTGAAATTGATACCTACTCCACTCTTGTTGGTGATTTGTGCGCTTTGGTTTGCTTTAATGTGTTGGGTGCACAGTGGTTGCCCTTATTAAACCCGATTTGTGAGGTCGTGTCTACTCCAGCGCTGTTGTTTGTTGAATATATATACTTTAAGTGGATATATACAGTAAGGAGAAACTAACCGTCGACATCGGTTTTTCGGCGATTAACCAACGTCGTCACGATGGGTCCTGTATATATTTATATATACGTCTACAGGCCCACTACACTATACCATCAATTACTCGGAAGGTCACAATTACCGATGAACAACAATTTGCCTTGATGAGGTATCCTAACTAGATTTTGATCCTGGCCCAGCCAAATAATCAATTAACAAAAGAATGTAAAAAGTCACACACACAATCACCACACAAAATCATCCTCCCTCTATTTCCCCACCATCACCTCCTATCTCTAATGACCTTTTTTAGAAGGTCAGGGTCTGACCGGCGGTACCGTAGACAGCATCCTTAACAGCCGAAGCAGCAAGGAGGTTGTACTCGTAGGGAACGCTGGAAAGGGTGCCCTCAGGAGCGGTGTTCTCGCCATCACCGAAGTCGTTGTCCCGAGCAACAGCGTATCCTCCATCGGTGGAGTAGAGGGGCTTCTTGCCGCCCTCCCACACGTTGCCCTCAACCAGCAGCTGGGCGCCCTGGCGGGTGTTGATGCCGTCGCTGACGTCCAGGTAGTAGTTGTTGTAGAGGTGACCGGTACCGAAGCGGAAGGAGGGACCGCGAGAGTTCAAGTTATACAGGTAGTTGTTGTTGACGGTGATGCGGAGGTGGCCGGTGTCTTCGTCGCCGTTGCTGTCGGAGTGGCCGTACAACATGGCCTTCCAGTGGTCGTGGACGAAGGTGTTGGAGATGGTTACGTAGTCGGCGGCGTGGGTGAGCTGGATTTTTTTTTCCCTGTTAGTTGGGTTGATTTCTTTGATTGCGGGTTGAGATATATGGAGAGGTAGATGGTTGGAGAGATCACGTACATCAATCAGACCGTCGTAGTAGTCCTTGTCGTGGTCACGGTCGGAGGAGACATCACAGTGGTCGATCCAGACATTGTTGGAGTACTCTGCCGCAGGTTAGCTTTTGTCACCACTTCCATGGCAGTGGATTGGGAGGAAAACATACGGACACCAATGGCATCACCGTTGTCGGCGAGGACCTTCTTGACACCCAAGTTACGGATGATGACGTTCTCCTTCTCCTTGACGAGACTGGTACAGTGTTAGTCTGAATCCCTCTCCATCAGTGTCGACTGATGAAAACATACACTCCGAATCCTTCAAGGATGGCGTTGGCATCCTTTCCGATGATGCTGGTGTTGCTGCCAATCTTCACCTGCTTGGCATCCTGGGTGATGGTGCCATCAACGATGACGATCTTGGCATCGTCACTAGAGACAGCCTCGGTGAACTGAGCGTAGGAGGAGACGGTGGTGGTGGTACCGCCGGCACCACCGGTGGTGCCACCATTTTGGCTGGCGTAACCGTGGGCGACCTGAGTAGAAGGTTAGGCACAACACTACAGGATGATGTACCAAGTATTCTCAGGAGACTCACGTCAGAAACAGTAGCACGCTTGCCGATGGTCTTGGTAGGGGCAGCCAGAGCCTGTCCAGACAGGCATGCGGCCAGCGCAAGGAAGAGCTTGAAGTTAGCCATTGAGGTGGGTGATTGTGGTGAAATAAAAGTTAAAAGAGGGTAGAAAGAATGACACAGTGAAGGGAACAGCTTTGCTGGTGAGAAAAGAAAGAAGACCACAACTACGCCAGATGGGCAGGTCTTATATATCCTGGTCTGGCGCTTCAAGATTTTCAAGATTTTCAAAATATTATTCATCCCTATGGAGCTCGGTAGAGCATCTCCGAGCCATGGCACCTTGAGCTAAGACCAGTACTAATTGCCATAGGTGGAACAGAAAGAAGAGATCGTCGTCGTTTGCCCCCTAATACATACACGCAGGAGCGGGTAATTTCTCCGCGGGCCTGGGGTTAGATTAAACATCACGTATAGTGCCAAGCTTGGACTGCAATGAACGAGTCAGTGGTACCAAGAGTGGCATGACGAGATTGTTGGTTGAGGGCGGCTAGCTGACGGTTAGGGCTATCCTGTACCAGTCTAGGTGATACATGGAGAGCCGCTGGTAGTCATTGGTGCGTTTCAGAAGGCAGTGCCAAGAAGTCGGAGGTTTTGCTCCTTACCCTTGGCGCTCAGCTGCATGAAGACATGATCAATCATTCTGCATGCACATCATGTGCTTAATAATTGGAATTGGATTTACAAGTTCAGGGAGACGATCCTCGTGATGCTTGTTCTTCAGAGATTGTCCCGTACACGGTATAACAGGTGGAATAATATAAAGTGAGTAAAGCAGCTGTGTGCGCCGGGCAAGGCTTATGAACTCAAATCCACAAATCCGAGCAACTCCCGAGAGCTCTGATGTACAGGAACGGCACTTTGTTTGAGTTTGGGTTGTGAAGGACGACTCCGTTCTCCTTCGAGTAGTCGTTAGGACTATCACTGTTCTTTTGATACTGCCAAGAAATCTCTCGGCACATGGACTTCCGGTGTCTCCAGGGTGCTTGGCACAACTATATTTAACAGGAATTGTTCCACACCGAAGAAAATAGTCTTAGTTGTTTAATATAAGATGCTCTTGGGCAATGATTCTAGATGGACGTGTAATAGGGGCATGGATTCAATCTAGACATGTGACATGGCGACCCTAACATCAGCAGTTAACCATGCGCACTCTTAGCCGGACTGTGCACGGCCGAACTATTCTGATAGAGTAAGGATAACAATGGGAGCTTACTTCTTCGAGTTAGGCATCCCTACGTAACCCATGTGGATTGTGTTTTATGTTCCCAGCATGGTCGAGATTATGGAGTACCATTTCCATGGTTCCTCCCGGGTCTGAGTTGCCGAGGAAGGAACCCTGTATAATTAAATAGCCAGGAGCACTTGTATAATTGGATTCGACGTTGGCTACAAAAGATTTATCCCCGTAAAGGTAGCGCATTTTTGTTTGTCCAAGTGTCGTTCTTTCGAGACATCGGCTGGGAAAACTTCGGCCTTAGCGATGGGGCCAAGACTCAGCCACACATGGCTTGATTGTGGTGATGATGTGATTGGCGTGATCGATGGTCGAACACCCCCTCTTAATCTAATCCGCACTTGACATCCAGTTCACCCTTAGCATTTGCTCCCAGTATACTCAAAGTCTGAAACAGCCATGGTTGATACGTTTTCCTCTATCCCCATCGTGGACTTTAGTCGTCTTCAGGATCCGCTGACTAAAGCGGAAGCCTTGGAGCAATTGCGGAATGCCATCTTCCGGGTTGGATTCTTGTACTTGATCAATCATGGACTAGAGGTAATCAATCATCAACCCAAGTGTTCTTTGGTCAGAATACTGATATTGTAAAGCCACTTGTAGAAAGAACGCACGCGAAGCTTCCAGAGCTGTTCGCTCTGCCCACTGAGGTCAAGGAACGATGTAATATGATCAATTCGCCCGCGTTTGTCGGGTATACTCGTCTCGGAGCCGAGACCACAGCATCTAAGACGGATTTGCGAGAGGTAACCGTTTCCCCCATAAAACGAATGTATAGACCACTGATCGGATTCAAAAGCAATTCGACTTCGGTACGCCGGGTATGAAACCCTGGACTGAGAATGATCCCTTCTGGCAGCGACTCGAAGGGGACAGCCAGGTATGTCCCCCAGCATCCGGTCTACATGTCGGGCATTCTAATGATGTAGTATCCGGACCATCCTGGGGCCAAAGAACTGGTCGAAGATTACATCGCAGAGTCCGCGAAGCTATCGCAGGAATTCATGCGATATGTTTCAGAATGTCTTTCCCTACCCCCAACAACCTTCGAGTCATTCAAGGGCAAAATGGACCGCCTGAAGTTTGTCAGGTATCCTCAAGCTGCGCCCGGCTCACAAGGAGTAGGTCCGCACAAGGACTCCACAGGTTTATTCACTTTCCTCTCGCAAGACGACACGGGCGGACTCCAGGTCCTGAACAAGAACGGCGAGTGGATCGATGCCCCTCCCATTGAGGGCAGTCTGGTCGTGAATATCCAACAGGGATTCGAGGCAATTACCGGCGGGATCTGCACTGCGACGACCCATCGGGTGATTGTATGTTGGTCCTATACAGATTTTGCTTTTTGTCAAGTATCACTAACATGGATGTAGGCCCCGACGACCAAGACACGATACAGCATTCCGTTTTTCCTGGGCGTGCGGATGGACCTCACACTCGACCAGCTCCGTGAATCCACAGCACATATTGTAAAATGTATCCCTGCTTCGGATGACCGGAAGAAGCGAGCAGTCGATGTGCCCAGCGAGTTTCTCTCGCCTTTGTATTCATGTGTAAGTGTTATCGTTCGTTACCCATTTGTGGACATGGAATCTCACTAGGATGAAATAGTTCGGAGAAGCATACCTGCGTAATCGGATTATCAGCCATCCAGACGTAGGGCAAAAGTGGTATCCGAAATTGTATGAGCGATATACCAAGGAGAAACTCACGTAAAGATATATATATCTGCGCCTATGCTAGGGACTTCATCTAGCTCAACCCTTGCAAACACGAGTCAGAATATCCCCACCATACATAGTATATATATCCCTATCATACGTACAAACCCATGCATAGAAAACTACATAAGGGTCGACATCGAACGATAACATGAAAATAAACACCCGACTCCAATGCCAAGAACTGGTAGTTAGAGTGAATGGAACAGCAACAGTTCGTATTGATAATGAATCGCTAAGCGATTCAATCAATCGACCCCACATGTGATTTATTCAGCGGATGAACCCGACAACACCACCAATTTTACCAAAACACACATTCATCGCCAAACAACCACCATGACTTCCATTCCGGACTCGACCCTTCGCGCCCTCGTGGACAATCTCAAGTCCTCAGATGTCTTCACCCCCTCATCTGAAGGCTACCAGGCCAGTATCCGACGATGGTCGGAAACCGGAGTTAAACAAGCCGTATGGGTCTTCCCCCCGTTCCCCACATCTGTTTCCTTGGTAGAGAAAGAGAGAGTGTGTGGTGCTAAGTGAACCGTGCAGGGTGTTGTGGTGATGCCCACTGAGACTGACGATGTTCGCACTGCACTTCTCTGGGCTCAAGATCATAATATCGACCTTGCCGTCAAGGGAGGTGGTCATTCCGTCGCGGGAACGAGTTCTAGCGACGGCGGATTGGTGATCGATCTGTCGCGCATGAACAAAGTCACCGCGGACACGGAGAAGAAAACGCTGACCGTCCAAGGTGGCGCCGTGTGGAAGGACGTCGATGAAGCGGGCGCAGAGCACGGACTCGCTGCCGTCGGCGGTACAGTCAACCACACCGGCGTCGGTGGATTGACACTCGGTGGAGGATACGGCTGGCTGAGCGGTCAGTACGGACTCACCATCGACAACCTCCTGGCTGCGACGGTGGTGCTCGCAGACGGCCAAGTCGTCACAGCCTCTGCGACCGAGAACTCAGACCTCTTCTGGGGTCTGCGGGGAGCAGGATACAATTTCGGGGTGGTTGTCGACTTCACCTTTCAGGCTTATGAACAGAAGACACCCGTCTATGCGGGGATTATTGCCTTCACACCAGACAAACTCGAGTCAGTCATCGAGCAGATGAACGTGCTCTTTGAAAACCCCGACCCTCGATCCGGTGCGATGATCATCCTTGCCCAGCCCCCGGGCGCCCCTACCATCATGGTCAACGTCCTGGTCTTCTATAACGGTACCAACGAAGAAGGCTCAAAACGTTACGCCGGCTTCCTTGCTCTCGAGCCCGTGGCCAACATGATCGAAGTCATCCCTTACTCCTTGCTGAACTCCCTCCAGAACCCGATGGCCACTTACGGCGACCGCAAGTCCTTCAAGGGTCTTTTCTATCGCACACCCATGGACGCCCAATTCCTGCGTTCCATGCTTGACGAACTAAACGCTAAGGCTCAAGAGCACCCCGATATGATCCCGGCTATGCTGCTTGAGTGCTACGATATGAGGAAGACCTGCAGCGTGCCGCTGGATGCGACCGCGTTCGCGAATCGGAGTCTTACGCAGAACGGACTGCTCAACCTGCGCTGGACGGATCAGTCCAAGGACGCCGAATATCGGGCCTGGGCGCGCGAAATTCAAGCTAAATTCAAGGCGCAGTTTGAGACCCAGCTTAACGGAGAGGAGACGGCCGATGTACCGCAGTATATCAACTACGCAGAGCGTGAGTTTCATACCACCCAAAACTCAAAGTAAAAAATGGAGTAAACTGACATTAGACAGCCGGAGACTCGGTCGTGAACAACATCTACGGAAGTAATCGGGAGCGCCTGAAGGAAGTCAAGGCGAAATACGACCCGAAGAATGTCTTCCATAAGATGCATCCCGTTTCCCGTGCTTAGTCGACTTCAAAAAATCGAAATCAAGGGTCCAGCACCAGGTTCGGAAACTAGCACAGTAGTGGAATCCTTTCTATGCAGTCTACTACGAGCCGGAAATATGGAAAAGAAAAAACAAGCGAGCGGACCCTTGAGATCTCGTATCCGCAATAAACCTATAGATTAAATTATGCATGATCTTATCATGAGGAATAGGACCCGTGTCTAGTGCTCACACTCTCATTCGTGGAAATTTCTCAACTGAACAGAATCTCATGTAAATTTCTACATTAGGTATCGTGTAGTATCGGTGACCGACGCTTGGAATAATCTGATTTGTTGCTGCGATGCCGCGATCTACAGCTTCGGAGGCAAAATGGCATACTTGACGGACTTGACGGATGTCCACCCCTCCAGGGCCTCCTCACCCATGTCTCGCCCGAAACCGCTCTCCTTGACACCTCCAAACGGTGCATTGGGGCTAAGCATCGCCCAGGCGTTAACAGTAACCTGGCCAGACTCAAGGGCAGCCGTCACACGGTGAGCACGGCTAATATCGTTGGTGAAGACGGCCGCGCTAAGACCATGCAGGGTATCGTTAGCTTTGGCGATAACCTCAGCCTCCGTCTCGAAAGGTGCAATGCTCTACTCCAGTTAGCTATCTCGATCCCGCCACGCAATCTAACCGAGGAGAGAAACATACCGCGACAGGCCCGAAGATCTCCTCCTTCATGATTGTCGCATTCTCAGAGACATCGGCAAACGCGGTGTTCTCAACAAAATAACCCTTGTCGCCGACCTTCTCACCTCCGAAGAGGAGTCGGGCCCCACACTGCTTACCCTGCTCGATATACGACAGGATCTTGTTATGCTGTGCCGCGCTGACGATCGGTCCCTTCGTAGTGGCAGGGTCCAGGGGGTTGCCAATGACCGACGGACTACCTTCGGCCATCTTCTTATACGCCTCTAAGAACTTCTCGTAGATACTCTTCTGGACATAGATGCGCGAGCCAGCCGCACAGATTTGTCCATTGTTGGCCGTAATACCGATCCTGGTCCACAGAACCGCATTATCCAAGTCACAGTCATCGAAAACAATCGACGGGCCTTTACCGCCGAGCTCGAGATTCACCCTCTTGAGATTAGTCGATGCCGCGGTCTTCAAAATCTGTCGGCCCGTCGCACTGGATCCCGTGAACGAGATCTTCCGCACCGTCATGTGCTCTGCCAAAGCCCTGCCGGCCGATGCGCCGTCACCAGAAATAATGTTCACCACACCTGCAGGGAAACCAGCTTCCTGGACAAGCAAGGCAAGCTTCTGGGCGTAGAGCGGAGATAGTTCGGATGGTTTAATGATAAGCGAGTTACCACTTGCAAGGGCGGGAGCTAGCTTCCAGATAGTGATCATCCTGTATACCAATTAGTACTGGGCTACCAGTTATTGTAGCGCGCCGTAAGCAGCCACCGCGGCTAGTCAAGACAACATACAAAGGCGCATTCCAGGGGACAATGGCTCCACAGACACCCAATGGCTCCCGATACGTGAAGGCGACACCACCCTCCATGGCAAGGGTCTTTCCATCGATCTTATCAGCCCAACCGGCGTAATACCGGAGGTTGCCAACCGCCTGGGGGATGTTCATGCCCTTGCTGTCGGTATAGAGGACACCGGCATCGACGGCCTCGAGGGATGCGAAGTCATCTGCATCTCGCTCGATCAGGTCGGCCAACTTCAGGAGAAGCCTCGCGCGGGCCGGGCCGGGGGTATTCTTCCACACATTGAAGCCAAGAGTCGCGGATTCGACAGCCTTGTTGACATCTTCAGGCGATGCGGCAGAAATGGTTCCGAGGGATTCGCCCGTGGAAGGATTCTCGACGGCCAGGGTCTGGGATGTAATGGAAGGAACGAATTCGTTGTGGATGAAGAGGCCCGTTGGGACTAGTTTCCCGAGATTATTTCTTTAGTCAATGATTCCTTGCAGGGTATAGTGGTTTTGAGACCATGCATCAATTTATATGATTCATATTACATGATCGGAATTGAAGATAGAGGGGTAACTTTTACTCATACCTTGAATCTGGCGCCCAGCGGCACCGGTAACAGTGATTGAAGCCATTTTTGTTGATAAGATGAATCACACACAAAGTCTTTGTGTTTTTAAATCACACACACAATCAGACCACCCACCTATATAGAGTGGGTTTTATAGGCGACCACGTCACGGCATATCCCCTTTCTCTATAAGGGGGTGCGGACCGTTCCGCTGTCCAATTCCGAAGTGATTCCGACCGGTAAAATTTGATCGGCAGCACTAGAACGTTGGCAACGGGGCCATTTGACAGTCCGCCGTTTTATTCGGCTTGGGAGGCCGCTTCTCAACTAAGGAACTGGTTGGGAAGTATGGACTATACGGAGTCAATTTGCTGAGGTATTTCCCATATGGGTAAGGCTTCTCATTAAGGGGGTGGTGGGATATGTTATCCGTTCTATTGTTAGAGTCAGGATTTAGGGTTATTAAGGTGGGGCGTGTTTGGACGAGGTAAAATTGGATATGGATGGGACTTGGGGAGATGAGGGTATGGTAGATCCTGCCTAAACAGGAAAGAAGCAGAGCTATCAAGGGTGGGCTTTTGGAATTGGGGAAATTGCTCTTCTTGGTTTCTGTTTTTTTCGCTTCGTTGTTGGGTAGCGGCCAGAATGAGGGTTTGGGTTTCGAGACTTGAAGAAAACGACCACGTGTAGGATACACAGCACGTGCCACAAACACCCTCGAGAATCCAAGTCAAGTGTGCTCCCACCGTCACATCCAGCCTCCGAACCCTTATCTTCCTTTGGACTCTTAATTCTCTTAAGCTAAACTCTATTTTAAAGTTATCACTGTAAACAAGAAATGTCAAGAACTCCATCACACATGTGCCACCTCACAAAGGGCGCAGCAACGATGATAACTGTAGAAGGGCAACTTCATCATCAGAGAATCAGTAGTAGCCTATAATGAGGGCAATTTTAGTCTCCTGAATAGGTAATAATGCCTTCTTGGCGTCTCCTGTAACCACCACATGTAGGAAATGCACACTGTTATGGCGTACCAGCGAGTAAGAGTGCCATCCACTACTTTAAAACCAGCGGCCAGGGTGCGCATGCACATTGTGTCACTTCCAGCCAGCCTAGTAAAAACCAGTTTTGTCCTGTAACCTCGTTTGAGTGATATTTGCTCAGTCAGCCATTGTAGGCCTAGGTGCGAAGTGCGCACGGGATGTCGTGCTTCCGTACAAAAAGCAAAAGCAGTTGCATTCAAACATTCGTATTAATGTATGCAAGGGATGTGTGGGGTACAGGATTGATAGGATACCGACAGTTCTTCACATGGGTTTACCGATCGGAGGATATATATTCCTTCCAGAGTAGGGTAGCATGAGAAATTATTGATCACACCCGAAAAAAAGTAGAAACTCCTACATGTCATCGATGGATCTGAATCCTGGACCGTTGATGCATCGGGACGTTAGCGTATTAGACTAAGATGATAATCATTGTAAATGATTATCACAAACAGATTGATGATCTACGCATCGTGTACTTTTTGTAGCGCTTACAACACGGGTATGGTTGCATTATACCCTGCTTGTCAGGATTGTTTTCAGCCAGCCTTTTGACTTGAATACTACCCCGTGGATGATCTTATCTATTGAGGTAAGCTGGAAAATCTCGGCAAAAGCCGAAGCGCTAAGATTGTACGCGTAAACGGCGACCAGGCTGTTTCAATTGGGACCTATTTTCGCTGCTTGAATCTCCCCGTGGGGTTTGCACGGGGGGTATTCGGTGTCCGGTCTCCGAAATCGGCAGTAGTGTAATGTGTCGTAAATTAATAGTTATACTGTAGGGTACTATCGATAGTTTGGCTGAATGGATGCTGTAGAGGTTTTGACAATTACGGTAGGTTGAGATTTGGGTATGAACAGAATGATATTTTAGCCGACTAGCATCTAGATATTTGGCAATTTCTATAGTTGGCCTGGTATCGACCGCTGGGCGGCTTGTAGGCCCTCTATACATATAATATCAAGTTGACAAGTCCAATTCTTCCTTCCAGAACATCCATGCACTTGCAATGCCAAGTTTAATGCCTGCTGCAATCCACAGAGCAGCGTAGATATCTCCTGTACCCTTGGTTATCCAACCACCTGCAATGGCCCCAACAAGAGTGAGCACAAAAGCAATAATCCTGCGATCCCGCTTCTCGTTCCGCAGGAGGAAGAGTTTCGGGTCCGACATCAGGTCACAGAGCAAGCTTGTAATTACAACAGTCGGTATCTCGTTATAACCAAGAGCTCGACTGGCAACTATCTGTCCTGCAGATTGGATACTAAGGAGTACGATGGGTACTTCCTGCGTCCAATCTGGCTCTGTGGTATTCAGATTGTGTAGAGGAAGCCCCGCAATGACCCCACTCTGAACCAGACACGCCGTGAGAATCAACATAATCACTTGCAGAGAGAATGAGAGAATTAGCGTCCCTCTTTTCTTTGGGCCAAAGACACGGTTCAGCCGGGCGAAGATGAATGAGCCTATGATGAAGCATCCGATTGAAGTGAGAGAGCGAGCCCAGCCATAAGGCCGGGGGTTCTGGTTGGAGGCTCCTAAACCGACGAAGATAGTATTGCCTATAGCTTGTCAGTAACTGGGTAGGAATTGGGGTACCGAGTAGCCACTGACCAGTCTGCATGGACACGAATGTATTGTACGCTGTTTCTATCAGTACAGTCACTTGGATAGGGCATCGTAAGCGGCCACTCACCGTTATAGAGTGTGCTATCGACAAGTCCCGAACAAAGGCAACATGCGAAGAGTAGAACATCGGCATGTTTTGGTTGTATCTCTGCCTTGAAGAAGGTCAGACGTTCTTTCCTCTGGCTGTCGTACATAGCTTATTCGATGTGTGAGAAGAAAAAAAAAAAAAAAAAA